TACCTTCTATCGCAGCCATAGTTTATGAAATGGATGTTTCTTCTGCCTGCAGAAACCTTTTTATGTATTTATTTATTTATTGGTTTCTTCCTAGCTAGGGAAACATCTCTATTTTATTCTCTCAACCATGTGCTGCCGCATCACCTCAGATAATTAAAATATATACATATTGAGGATCTTTATCCCTAGGTCCTCTACGTAGCCGTTTGACAAATTGGGTTTTCAGTGCATGGGCTGCCATTCTCCTAAATAATAATAGATGTTAATTTAATGTGATTTTGATAAGAATAGCGGAGTTGTTGTACAGCCTAAGGAGTTACGGTTACCTCCTATCGGGGATAACCCCTCTGATGGCATAACACTATCTGAGGATGAAGCTGAATTCCTTGAGTACACGCTGTTCCGGGGTTGGATGCAGCAGTGGCTCAAGTGGGTTCAGTGGTACGCTGAGGTTGCCTTAGACTATAATACCCCGCTTTCTGATCTGCTTGAGTACCCTGTCGTAGAATCCCAAACTCTTTCTGGCGGAACCTTCCGACTTTTTAGATAAAAACCACGCTGAATTTTTGCGATATTTTGAGACTCATTGTTTCAAAGCGGCGAAAACTCTCGCGAAATTCCCACGGCGAAGCCTCGAGAGACTTTTCACTTGTCTTCTGCGAGTCTGAGACCTTACTTCTGCGACTACTCGACTTTTGCAAGTCCTTATCTCGACAAAATCTCCTTAAAGTCTCCTCTATCTCAGAGTCTATTCTAAAAATAAACCAATAGCCCTATAATGGATTGAGTTACATAGTGCCACCCAGGTTTGGAACCCACTTTTTAGAAGTTCATGTGCACGCATGTGTCATCACCTCATTGGTCGGAGGTCCATAGAATCAAAATTTTCTTAGAGTTTTGGTTAGGTACACTTGCCGTCCCGTCCGTAGTAGTTACCGTAAAAGAGCCCCGAGTGCTAATGGCGGACGAGCGGTGACTACTCCTTAATGCCCCCATCTGCGATGAAGCGCAGAGATTTGTTCAACCCTTGGTGTGTGAAGTTGAACTTGTCGTTGCTGGGCCGCCCGAACGCCGAGAAACACTCCTTAACTTAACACTCTCTCCGGCATGGTAAACTCGGCCAAAATATGACACCCAAAGGGCCCGGCGCGCACAATCCTATCCTATCCGAGTCCGAGTTTACCCCTTGCACTTCGGACAGCCGTCCGTAGCATCATATGGAAGAGGAATCCTTGCTCACACCGGTCTAATGTCAAATTCAGTTTCTTTATTGAACAAGGATTTCTATATTTGCTATTAGCTATAGCCCCACCGGAAAAAGAGAAATCCCTATCAGGAAATGTGATAGGAAGAAAACAGCACATCTTGAGGAGCTCTTGCTGAGTAAACTTCTGGGGACAGGCAAAAGTAGGGGCTCGCCACCTTGCAATGAACTCCGTGACAGGTTCATTATCCCTTTGCTTGGTCTTGAGTTGTTCGGGCACTCCAACCCTTCTTTCTTTGTGTGTTGCTGAACTGCTTCCTGAACTCCGATACCCTTGCTTCCCAAGTCGAGATCGACTGAGCTGGTAGAAGCCCTCGCGGCAGGGAAGTAGAACTCACCTTTCATAAAGTAACGAAATCTGGTAGGAATGGATACAAGACTATGACTATGTTATGTCTAAAAAAGGAGGAATGGGTCATAAATTAATCCTATTTCTTGAATTTTTTACTAGAGAAATTTTCGTAATAATAATATTGATATTTTATTTTTTTTTATCTTTCTATTTGAGTAAATTACACTATTAAACTCTTAATTTTTTATTTTATATACGACACATTTAAACTTTTAATTTTAACAAATCACGCGAGAACTTTTAATTCTATAACAATTGAAGTTAAATAATTAACGGATATTATCAAATTAAATAGCTCAAGACACAAGACTCGCACGTGTCTTGATTTAAAAAATAATGAGCTTTGCCTTTTGTGTACAAATTTTGTATTTCAAATCATAAATTCAATAATATTCATTAACTATTGGATGTTATTTGCTACTGTTTTGAAAATTCATGGTGGAATTTGTTTAAATTAAAAATTTAGGATTTGTAATATAAAAAAATGAAAAATTAAGAATGTAAAAGTATAATTTACTCCTTTTACATCATAAATGATGTATACTTGTACACAGAATGTACATGTGGCAGCAACATAACCCAGCCTTAAAAAATAAAGAGGAAAAAGGACTGAAAAGCTGTTAGATTATAGCAACAACCGGTGTACATATGTTAGCATTTTCTATTTGTCCCCGACGAGTTAAATCGCCATCAGAGACAAAAAAAAAAAAAAAATGAGTCTTACTGGTGCGGTCCACGTGGTCTCATCACTTGGAGTTCATTTTTTGTGTCTATGGGAGTTTATCCCCATCGAGAAAAAGAAAGAAAATTTTAGCACTGTAATTTTATATAAGAATTTTTATTATAATAAAAAAGTTAAATGTGATTATTTTTAAGAATTTTTTACTGAAATAAAATTCAAATTTTAAACTCAAATTGATAAAATAAACCGGGTCTTATTTTTTTAGTAACGAAGTCAGTCTCAAAATAACCAGGAAACAATCAAAGAACAATATAGAGTCAAGGTGTCAACGAACCTTGCTCCCTAATTCTTGATTACCAAGCTTATTACGGAGGAAAGCTCTAAAGAGTACTCAGAATCCAATCCCAGATCTGATCTTCTCTAAGCAAGCAAGTACACATTAAAGGAAAGGTAACGGGGTTGTTCTTTAAGGTCCCGTTTATTTCGCCGATTTAAGTTTAAAATTTAAGTTTTGTTACAGTAAAAAGCTCTCAGAAACAGTCACATTTAACTTTTTTACTATAGTAAAAAGTTCTCACACAAAATCACATCTCAACTTAAATTATAAACTCGAATCAGCGAAGTGAACGGGCCTACTTGAGTGTAGTTTTTGAGTTGAATTTGAGTTATAACTTGAGTTTAAAGTTGTAACTTGAATAAAGCTTAGTAAAGTTGAATAAAATTGAAACTTAAAAGAACGTGAACTTAAATAAAGTTGTAACTTGAGTTTAAACTTTTTTTTGAATTTTTTTTTTTTTAAAAGAACAACCCCGTTTAACCGAATACTCAAAACGGTGTCATGAGTCCTAAACGACAATACAATAAGCAAAACACAGGCTAGATAATTGGAACTAGTCCAAACGACAGTAATAGCTAAGAAACGACAGAAAACACAATAAACTAGTCATATGGCCCCTGCATCATTTGGAGAGTTTGTCAGTTTTTAACCGTTAAATCATATCAAAATCACTTCATATTAAAAACATGTCTAATAAATAATTTTTAATATAAATATAACGGCTGAAAATAAAAAATTACTAATAATTCATATTTTTACTGTCTATTAGAGGAGGTCTTTTTTTTTAGATGATTTCTGTATAAGTATTATTGATATACATATTACATATATATATATTTAGCCAGCAAAATAATTGTGTAGGCGATTCCCAACACCTGAGGCAATGCCATATAGTAGGTACATTATTTATGCAGGTAAACAACTTGGCTGTCATGCTTCCCAACCCCCCAACAACGTGCAGTAGAGCCTTCCAGAGCAGTTGTTATCCTTTTCTGGGTCAGTATTTCGATAAATTTTTTATTGAATTTAGAAAATCTTTTTCCGAAGAGAACCTCAATGGTAGGAGAAAGATCTATTCTATCAACAAACAAAAAGAGGTGAGCAAGCCTCACACCATGCGAGACTACACAGAAACCAATGCATACAACAAAACTATGATTAATGGCGCGTAAAATAAGAAGGTTGGAATAAAACCAGCTCATTCCTAAACCGCAAGTAGGACCGTTGCTATTCAAGAACCGTACATGAGATTTTCACCGCATACGGTTCCAGTAAAAAGTGAAAATGTTAAAAGATACCAGTAATATTTAACACTACAATTTATAATGGGAAATATCATGTATTAGAAATAGTGTATTTACATATAATATTTGTTATTATGACAGTGATGTCAGACATCATCGATATTAAATAGTAACGCTCATAAAATTTATCAAAGTAGTTCTAAAATGAAGCGAAAACACTTGGGAAACCTGGAACACAGTTTCTTAATTGAAAAAAAAAAGGAAAGAAATTCAATATGAAGAGCCGTTACAATCCCATTAAGCTCAGTGTCAAGAGCTATTATGGCTCCCAAAAAAACACTTCACAGTAATACATATTTGCTAGTAGACTCGCAACAACATAAAAGATTTAGGTGTTTGATATGAAGATTCGTGACATGATTCGAATCATAGTTATACACGTAAATTGAGAATGGTTCTTAATTATAGTTTTGAATCTATAAACTAAACGTGGTCAATTAATTTTCTACCACTGAGAAGTCTGTTCGAAAGAACAGTTGAGTTGAAGAAGATTGCTTATGGTCGCAAAATTACATCTTCTTTGTGTAGGATGTACTAAGAGACGCTGCACAAATCGGCATCCACATATGAGGAAAATAGTGGTATTGGTAAACATAATATTGATGTCAATTAAGAGATTGCAAGGTTACTGTTAAATTCACAAAGATGAACGCTTTTTGCTAGAGCTTATGAAGCCATTTTGTAAAAGACAATCGCAAAAAGGACAGAGAATCAATTTTTTGCCAGATTGATGATTCTTAAATTTCATGCCAAGGCAACAAACCTTGAAGCCTAGGGGACCTAACAAATAAAACCGAGTATTTTTTAGTTGAAATTCCTTAATGAGGCGCACAGAATGTCACTTTATTCTTTGCTCTATTCCACCACTTTAGTGTCTTGATCCTAACCCTATGCACAATCAAATGCTTAAACTTTCAAATCCCTTTGTCTCAACCCGGGGAAAAAGAAGACGATGGCCTTTGCCGCTAGTTTTACGGCCACACCCCTGTGGCAGAGATTGTACTGCAAACCAAGTGCCAAGCCTGAGATTGTGTTCTTGGCCAGTAAAACAACATCTCAGTTTGGGAAGAGCATATTGGAGACGAATCAGAATGCCATTCTGAGGGAAAGGCATACCAAAATGAGAACACACAGGTTTTATCCAGTTTTGGCTTCGAAGAGAGGCAACTTTTTTAGTTCGAGTTCGCTTTCCCCATCAGAAACGATTAAGGACTTCTACGCATGCATCAACGACCGAAAGTTGAAACGCCTAGCCGATTACATTTCAGCAGACTGTCATATCGAAGAGTGCTCTTTCCCCACCCCATTTGAAGGCAGAGAGGTTGAGAGTTAATACCTATTCTCCTTACCAATTTTAAGCCATTTTTATTTCGTTACCACTATTAGAGCCTGAAGATAATCCATTTCGCAGGAGGTATTATGCTTTTTTGATCAGCTTATTGCGAGCATGGGGGACAATGTGAAGTTTAGGGTTAAACAAGTTTGTGAAGGAGATGAGCTTATAGCAGCTGCAAAGTGGCATATTGGTACTTCCCTGTATTACAATTTTCAACCACACCCACATAGTCTTACTAGATCTTAATTTTGTGACATGATAAGGCTAATCCATGACATGGCAGAATGGAAAAATGCTGAGATCCCTTTCACAAGAGGCTGCAGCTTCTTTGAGTGCTCAAAAGAAGGAGGAAAACTCGTTATAAAGTATAAATCGCAACGCCGATTTCCCTACTCTTACCCTCTAGATTCTGTAAAATACTACCCAAGCTTCACCAATTTGTTATTCCTTGCAGGAAAGCACAAATTGTGATCGAGTCACCAGTCAAACCAGGACGCCTAGTGCTGGTAATTTCACTACGTCATTCAAAAGTAATATGGAACTTTTTCGAAATTCATGAATTTTGATACCAAATTTATTTTTGATCCTTTTGTTTTTGTTCATGACATGTTTCTCCCGATTGAACAAGCCAGGTCCTGTTGAAGATTGTCACAACAGTATTTGATGATTTTCCGAAGACAACCGAATGTATGCTTAAATATCTTAATCCTCCAATTAGGGTTCAAAAACTCGCTTTATCATATAAACCAAACTCATATGTGCATACACTTGAGAGTTCACACATATCTCCTTAATTTGCAGGGTTCCTAAAGAGTCCTCACGTTATACTACAATGGCTACTAAAAATTTACACCATACTTTTCGGAATATTCATCAACCCAGTTCTGCAAAGCTATGTACCAGTTTGGAAGTTAACTGCTCGAGTATATAGTTACGTTTTCCACATTGTGCTCTACATTCTGAAGATTTTCATCAAGTAAAGGACTCCTGTTTCTTTCCTTGTTTCCAATCAAATACCAGTAGTTCTGGAGAAGAGAGGCCTTCACCTGTCAGTCGTCATTCCCATCGTGACTCGACCAAGACTCGAGCAAGGAGAGTGCAATCAACGGTCCAAGAAACGGCGGAAGTGGAGGAGGTCGGCTGAAAGCGACTATAGGATCAGCCTTCTCTTTTGTAGCCGTTCCCTCTTCCAAAGAAACATCCATCCCTTGTTTCTTTGATGTTGTAGTAGCCACAATACCTGTTACAAACATCAAATAATTGTTTAATGCACAATAATCTGAACAATGCTTCATCTACTAAACTGTTTCGTTTAGTAATATCACCAAACATGTACTGTGCAAATCAAGAACAGGGTTCAGAAAACGTTACCCAGTGATTCTTTCATAGGGTAGATTTGTTTGAGTTTGATCATTGCAGGTGATAATGCAGCTATTCCCTTCATGGATACACTTTAGTTTATGTCTTATGACTTACTTTCACAAAGCAACAAAACTCACAAAGAGAATCTGCTCCTGAAAAATGAACGAAAATTATGCCACAATTCATCATTCTGTATTCTGGAATGCATTGGATTCAACTTCTTATATTCTTATCTCAAAACCCAATTCGAGTTAAGCAAATTACGTCGTAAAATGAGAATAAAAAAGGGCTGATTTTGTGGTCTAACATCAGAAAACCACATTTTCGAGAGTTTTTCATATAAAACATCAAAACAAAATATGAAATCTCACTGCAAAAACTACGAAAACCAACGATGATCCATATAACAAATCAATATTGTAGTTGTCATTATCCAAATTCCAAATAACCTTTGTTTGCTAAGCAGTGTTTCTTGAGATCATACTAGGAAACAGCAGAAACGACATGAAGAGAGGCGAGTTTAGTAGCGCACCTGAGGCTGTTAGGGAACTTTCAATGACTTTGCAGGAACAGAAAGAGAAACGACAACGTCGCAAGAGAAGACACTGAAGTTTAAGTCAGGCAAGGAAGCCAAAGATAGAGAACTGAGAAGGATCCAGAAATTTCAAGTAACAAACAACGTAGCAGCCAAAAAAAATGAAGGAACAAACCAAGTGCTACGTGGCGAACTTGGGATGATTAGGAGGAGTGCTTGGTCCCACTTTGACTTTGTTGATCTACTAGTTTGGACCGTCGGATGGTCCGTGGCCCGTTAGTGGGTTCATTCAGAGACTAAAAACGACCGATTGCTCTTTGTTGGCAAGCTCTAAAACGACACATCAATTTTCGAGAAAAAAACTTCTTCCAACTTTTGGCCCCTAAACTTCTCGTACGTTAAGTTTTTGACAGAAATTTACATGTCAAGAGAGAAAAAAAAAAAGACCTAAGAAAAATGGTAGTCTTTTTTTTTTTTTTTTTTCTTTTCATTTCGTTGATAGGCTTTCATGAAAAATAGTAGTGTTCTTGTTCTCAATAGGATGGAACTACTGCTTGCTTAGAAAACGTGTGATTCGGGTCAGGTCCACTTAGTTTTGCCAAGCTATGCCTTTAGATATATATATATTCCTATATATATGCATTTGAATAAGCTATTCCTATACCATTGTTCTTGTTTTAAATACCATATATATATATATATTGTAGGAAATTAAATGAGTGGGTGAATTAAGGGCCCGTTCACTTCGCTGATTCGAGTTTATAATTTAAGTTGAGATGTAATTTTATGTGAGAGCTTTTTACTGTAGTAAAAAAGCTAGATGTGACTGTTTCTGAGAACTTTTTACTGTGGCAAAACTCAAATTTTAAACTCGAATCAGTGAAGTAAACGAGACTTAAATGTGTACATCCTCTAATTTTTCTTGTGCGAAATCATACGTGACACTACGACGACATGGACCTCAGCGGCACTGATACCAGCAGCATCCTGTTATTGTCAAATATATTTTGTAATCTGTGTACAGATTAATACGTACAACTAATTTACACTGAAAATTCAACGTGGCACTTTTTTTTCTTCCCCGAAACCTCTATTTTCTTGTTATCACACCCTACAAGAAGGAATTTCTTACGTTGCATGCTGTGCTCATTCATGCATGAATCAGTCTAATTTCTCGATTCCCTTCCAAAATATTAATACAGAATCAATGAATTTAAAGGTCCTTTATTTATGTAATATACACACAACTGTACTACGAAAATTCATGCATTTTGAAGCAGGCACTCGCTGACGCTGTGGCAAATATATATATTTATGTATATATTTATATATATACACATCTAGAAAAGCAAATAAAGCTGTTTTTGTTGTTATTATCGCATTTAATTTCTCAATATAAAAAAAATGTTATGTGAAACAGCTTGCAAATCCAAAAAGTGTGATTTGGACGGTGGGGATCCCCATGGTTTCTTTACCTTATACGGATTTAATTTTAGGTTCGCAACAGTACAAATTTGGGCCTTGTTTTTCTTTTGATCTGCCTTTGTCTAATTCGTTGACGAAACGTGACGTAGCTGCAATGTTTTGGTAATATTTGTAGGCAAGTGAGCACTCACTTTCTTAGACGTCTATTCTAATTATCACTTTGGAGAAGATTATACTCCTCCCTTCACCCTTTAATTATTTTAGTCGATCGTCAAAATCATCTTTATATATGTGTGTGCGTTTATATATTTCTATAATCATGATTATGAGAATACACACGTAAATATTAATTAGTATGTACACATGAAATAGATTAATGTATACTAAATGGCCATTAATTAGTGTTTATTCAAAAGTTAAAAAGACAAAAAGAAATCTGATGAACAAAAAAAAAGCTATACACACGCATTTATATATGCGCTCCGAAATGTCTGTATATTAATTGCTCCTTTTGAGTACTGTCTAATTTTTAGTGTCTTTTTCCCTTTTAGTAGCAGTATTTATTTACTTTTTCTTTAATGGAAACAATATTCATATTTCATAATTTGCACACATACATACATAGATACATATTATATATCCAGCCCTATAATGTCAAAGTTTAAACTTCAAATTGTATTACACCAAATTTCATACACACACACATACTTCTTGAAAGATTTTTTTTTTTTTTTTTTATATAAAAAAGATAAATACCTTTTAGAGTGTATAAGTCTGGACTTTTATCATTTTCTCTTAATTAATATCTTTTTTAGTCAAGTAACTAATTAGTCCAAAGAGTATTTATTAAGAATAAAAGATAAAAATTTCAGATTTATACACTTTAAGGATAAGTTCAACAACATGTGTGACAAAAAAATATCTAATAGAGAGAGAGAGAGAGAGAGAGAGAGACTACAGCGGGTGTCTTGTTTGAACTTCATATATTTTGCCCATTATAGTGTGGAAAGATCATTTTCTTGATATATAGTTGCGGAAAGTGCAATATTAATGATGTTGATGTAAGCCGACTGCTTACTATTTTTATGTATGTGTTGGGTTTGACTAATTTACCATACATGAAAGTGGATTTGGCGGCACTCCTATACCTCGTTGGACAAACTTCCTTCGGCCGAAAAAAGAAAAGCAAAGAAAAATACTGGTCAAAGTTAATTAATGCATATCATACGGATCTACCTTACGTCCATACCTACGTATTATTAACTATTCGATCTTCATAAGTTTTTATCTTATGCGCATATACAGATGTGTATATACATACATATATATATATATATATATATATATATATACGCCAATGATTTTTATTGCGCATGAGTCATCAGTTTCTATTGAATATTATTCCTTTTTTTTTTGGCAGAGCAGTTTATGTTGATCAATATTGATCATGTTAAAAGTTAATGTCCAATTCATCTTCATCGCTTGTGATGAAAGGGCTAATAAACTAACCAACATTTTCACGTGTGGAAATTAAACAAGATATAGCTCCCGTTATCATGTTTAGCATTAATATCTATATATTTTGGTTATAGACTATTTCACTCTAATAAATAACCTTGGCAACTGTGCTTGATAGCGTGCCCCTTTTTTTTTTTTTTTTTTTTTGGTAAAAAAAAAAGAAATAAACTTTTACAAATTGTAGTGGTGAAAAATAAATATGATTCTTGTATTACAAATTGTATAACACGTTGACTTCATTGGATCATATCAATGTTAAGAAAAGGAAAAATAGAAGTAAAAATCTTGCATTTCCACGTCATAGATTATTCACTTCCGTTTCCCACTATTCAAAAAATTGCACTTTGTGCAACCTTGTAGTAAAAGAATGGAAATCAAGTCCCTTTTAAAACATCCTGCATGAATATTTTAACACATAGAGTCACATTTTTCTCAAAAAACCTAACATCATTTTCCTCATTTTCTAACTAGAAAAGGACATTGATGTTATATAATAAATGGAATTAAGTAGACTTGAGCGGGAAGAAAATATATTGAATTAGGTAGACTTTTACCTTTGGCCCCAAGAACAACCCATATGGCACTCCTTGAAATTTGTCCGAGTGATGTAGCTAAGTATTGAAAATTAAAGGATTATGAGAACTTGATTAAAAATGTAATTTGTAGAACATATTATAATAATAGCAAAAAGACAGGTTAACACGATTGTTCATCTTTCAGTGTTTGATCGTCATAGGTCACATAATCAAATCTGCGTGAATTCTTGATCAAATGGGAAAAAAAAATGTGATAAATTTCTTTAGAAAAACTTAGTTGTAAAATGGTTACAAGATTAATTCAAAAAGAACAAACTTACTTGGTGGGCTGCAGCAACTTTTCTTAAATAAGGAACATTTGCAATAGGGCCAACTGGAAAACGACGGTGGACGAGTCCGTCATGGACAAACATATAGGCCATTCCAAACATTGTGATTCCTAATCCCTGCAGTGCCAAAATAACTCCACACGATCAATGAAGAAACACATGGGATAATTTGCGTCTCAAAGTAAACCCTTTCTCTCTCTAACAAACATATATTATACTCAATTCCAACGTGTGTGATGATAATGACACATTTTTCACATGAATTTATACTTTATACTTACAGCGCCAAAACAGAGACCTGCGAGAAGGTCGGGATTAAAAAAACCGTAAGACATAAGTGCGATGGCGGGCACGGCGTTCATAATGGCGAACACATCATTAAGTTCAAAGGGACCATCTCTAGGCCGGTGGTGGGACTGCAAAATGCCAAAACATTAGTTTAAATCGCATGCCAAATGAGATTCAAATACCAAATTATTATGTATTAAGCGTGGAATTGAACTTCAAAGCCGCCAAGAAATGCAGTCAAAATTCCAATGTAATTTCTACCTCGTGCATGTACCACAACGAAGCGTGCCAAAGCGCTTTGTGGGCCCACCTTGCCCAGAATTCCATCCCCACCTGGAAAGTCCATGTTTAAATTACGAGGATTAGATTATGAAGACTTTAATCATTGATTAATAATTATCTTTATAATTTTATTTTAAGAAAAATTTCATATTAGTACGTACCATATGTTATAGCGTAATTATTTTTTAGTATCTTATGTTTTTAGTAATTTTAAATTGATATTTTAACGTTTTAAAAAATTATTTTTTAGTACCTTATGATTATTTTTTAGAATATAAAATGTTAAAGTTATCATTCTTATTAATTAATAAAAAACTAATAATAAATTTAGAAAATTCTGAAATTTTTTTAAACATTTAAAAATAAAAAATAAAAAATAAAAAATACTTTAAATTAAAATAAATTTTTCATAATTTTTTCTAGATTCTTTAATTTTTGGTAAAGTAATAAGAATGATAAATTTAACATTTTACATTTAAAAATACCTCAAAATACTAATTTTTTTTAAACAATACTAATTTAAAATTATTAAAAGTACAAAGTATTAAATCACGATTATGCTGTAAGATAGGGTACTAATATGAAATTTTCCATTTTATCTTAATAATTGAAAACTAACCGCGGAGCCAACAGCAAGGAAAAATGTACCGAACATTTCAGCAAGAGGGAATTCACCACCCTGTAAAAAAATGGAAAATGGGTTGATAAATATAAACTGAAAAAATTAAAAATATAAATTAGGAATTTTCAGTTTGTTCACCTGCATTTGCCAAGAGAATCTGTAATAAACGGCCATAATGGCGGCCGAAGAAACTCCAAGACTGGACATAATTGCGGCGACAAGATAGGCGTTTCTTTCTTTTCTCTTCCTTGCCAATCTCTGTTCCGTCCTTGGAATTATAAAATCATCCGAGGTTCTTGGAGTCATGTCTTCGGAAACTCCCATGAAATCCTCTGTTTTCTTCTCCATAACGACTGTACATATTCTTCTGCTCTGTTTTTCCGTACAAGTAGTACTTTTACAATTCCTCTTGAGATGGGTTTTCGGAGATAGAAGACAAAAGGGGTTTGATTTGGAGATTGGTATTATAGAGAAGAAAAATTTTCTATGAAATCTTGCGTAAGTTAAACTTCCTGAAGCTGTCAAAACTCTAGAATCCATATGAACACTAATTCGGAACACAAAGATATTAAACTCTTTAAATTCAACTTGTTAGAGAATCCGAGTTCCTTCTAGTACCATGAGAGAGAGAGAGAGAGAGAGAGAGAGAGAGAGGGAGAGATTTTGCAGAGGAAGGTGATCGATACATGTATATGTATGTATGTATGAAATACAGCGCGAGTTTCTATATATGTATTTCTGTCGAGATGTTTTTCAAAAGACGGTCGTCTTCGTCGTCCAGCTGTTTAAGTCCTGGTTCATTGACGTGAATTTACTATAATGACCCTCCCTCAATTTCCGTATAAATAAAGGTCTTGTTCATTTTTTTAATTCGAATTTTGTTATAATAAAAAACTCTCATAAATAGTTATATTTAATTTTTTTATTACAGTAAAAAGTTCTTACATAAAATCACATATAAACTCGAATTAAAAACTCGAATCAGCGAACTAAACAGACTCAAAATGTGTAATGTTCAAATAAATAGTGATAAAACCACATGATTGTCTTTAAAGTTCTTAAAAATTTTAACAATATCACTATTTAACAAGAAAAATAATGAGCCCGTTTGGTTGGAGGATTCGTTCTCTGATTTGAATCATGGTTCATTGTTCGCTACAGTATTTTCTCTCACAAAAAATACACGTAAATCGAAAATGATTATAATCTCATGGTTCTAATCCATGAATCAAATGGGCTCTAAATTTATATACCTGCATATAGATTAAATAATATATGAAAAATCAATAAGTTTTATCAAAGTATTTGTTACAAAAATTTGTAGTTTTTAAGCAAGCATTTGAAGATATGTATTTCAATTGACGGCAAACGAGCCCCAAATGAGTTGACAATAACCCTATTTTAGTTGCTTGGAAGATTGTTCGGTATTATTTCATGTTATTGTGTTAACTAGTTTAATTGGTGACAACTTATTGACTTTAATATTTGAAATTAGATCTTGAATGAATTTTTTATCAAGAAAAATACGAGAATGAAAAAGAAAAAAAAAAAAACGTATAGGATACGCGACATACGTATACACATACTGAGAATTCACAATTAACACACAAGTTATTAATTTAATTTTCCTAGGTTATGCTGCTTATGCAAATGAGTAGTAGACAACTCTCTATCCATTTAATCTTTTCCAATGTTGGAGAAAAGAGTTTGATCTAAAGACCTTTTTTCTTCAATGTAATTTTTTTTTTTTGAAGACTTGAGTTCAATACTTATTAAAGATTTTTCTAATTTGATAATAATAAATAAGAAAAATAAAAGAGTAATAGAAGAACAAAGCGATTTAACGTGGGGTTGTAAGATGTGTACATTCACGGAGTAGAAAAAAGAGAGAGAATTCAATAATAAAGAACACTATGGAGGGTGCTCCGTACAAATAGAGGTTACAAAACACATAAACGGCTAAGTTATCTAAAACTAAAATAAAGAAGTTCCTAATATAAATAAAGTCAAAGTACTATAAGAGTAATAATGTAAAAAATATTGACTTTTCCTGATATCTGACGCTAAATATTTTAGTAATTTACGTGATTAGGAGAATGAAGTGAACAACAAATTTACAATAAATAATTAAACTAAATAACATATTTTAAAACTATTTGAAGAAATAACAGTAAATTAAAAACTTACTTGGTAAAAAAAACTTTTTTTAATTGTAAGTAGAAAATTTACTTAATAAATTTTTTTACTGCTATTTAATTGAAATATTTTTTAAATTTCTTATTTACTTAATTTAGTTTCAAATGTTCTATTTAGTGGCCATTTGTCATCCTTAACGTGGTGGGCCGTGGGCCTGGCATTAGCCTTTGGACCCCAAGAAAAGAAGCGTGAAACCCAACTCTTCCACGTTTAATTCCGACTCCAAATCAAACTCAAAGCACGTTTTGCAAAAGACCATAAATATTAAATCCTCCTCACTCATTCCCTAAAAAAAAAAAAAAAAAATCCCAGCTCCAGCGTTTTTTCGTAGGATTCACCAAGAGCCTTCTTTGATAAGGTACACCAAAAGCTTTTCATTCGTTTTAGGTATGTTTCACCCTTTCCAAGCTTAATTATGGATGTTTACTTTTTCTAATTTGCTTTGCGCGTTTCGACTCAAATTTGTATTAAATATCCTTGAATGGTTTCTGATTAACCAACTATGATACTAAACAGTTTAATATAGCGAAATTGTAAATCCTGTAAATTAATTAATAGACAAAAAGAAGACCGTTTGTGTTGTGTTGTGCTGCTTCATAGATAATTTTCGATAAGAATCATAGTATATGCAGTACTGCTGATGGCTATATATTCATGTTATTGAGTTTAGTCCAAAAGAGAAATATGGCTTTATAGGTACGTAGAATATCGAAATCAATTCATTATATTTGTGAAAGTTGAGATACTTTGGTCAAATTTGATTGTTAATGGGGTAAAAATTTCTAACTTGTAATGGAATTTTCCCTGTATGGAGAATTATTATGATGCACTTAATCAAACTCAAAACTAATGTTGGAGAAAAGATTGTGAAGTCTAATCAAAAGATGCTTATTATATCTGTTTGATGTGATTTTGTAGATTTGCATTCATCAAGTAAAAGAAAGAAGATAATCAATCTTCAAGGCGCAATGGGGAACGGGAGAACAATATTGAAGGAGAATAAGAAGGAACTTCATCATGATCACCTTGACGAGACCGTTCTATACGAAATATTTACGAGACTCCCGCAAGAATGCCTCGCTGAGTTGAGGTACGCGTGCAAGACTTTCCACAAGTGGACATCGTGGAGCAAATTCGTCGCCGATTCCTTTCATCTGTCGCGGCCCGCGCTGCTTGTGCAAGTCCCCGGCAACTTGAGGTCGAAAGCTTTCAAGACAAGGTTCCTGGAATTGGATAGCGAAGGACTCGGGTTCAAGAATAAAAAATTCGGTATGTCTAAGATGGGGAAGGCCAGGTCTACTTGCAATGGTCTACTTCTGGTGAACGACACGAACAAGGAAAAGTGTTTAGTGGTCATGAATGTGCTTACCAAGTGTTATGTTGCCATCCCTTTTTGCCCTTCTCATTGCAAGCACGAAGCTTGCGGTTTGGCGCTAGTTTTCAACCCTCACGACAAGGTTTACAAAGTGGTGCACGTCTATAATGCTGGTTTTGGGTTCGAGATTTTCACCCTGGGCTGCTCAGGGAACGAATGGAAGGTTATTCCTGGCCCGTTCAGCGGACCAGGAGAGCAGCCTTTCGGCGCGCAATTTCGTTGGAGTGATCCTTTGTCCACGAATGGGCAACTGATCCTGCACTGGGATGTCGATTCTCGCGAATACATTATATCATTCGACACCTCCGAGGAAACATTCAGGAGGACTTGTTATCCATGTCGTTTCGAAGAAGGGACCGGCACTTTGTTGGAGACGGGAGGCAATCTCTCCTTTGCACACAGAAGTTCCTCCACTCAATTTGATGTTTGGGTTTTGGAAGACTTTGAAAGGCAAGTTTGGAACAAAAGCTATAGCGTTTTGGCGGAGTCAATAAGCTACACGTCTCAAGAGATAAATGCTTTACCAAGCTTTGAGAACCTTGTGCCTCTTTTCAGCTTGAGAGATGGGGAAATAATGCTTTTCCGGCACAAGAGCTCTCCTTGTTGGTATTTGTTTGAGAAAAAGCTTAGGGTGTTGAAGAAATTGAGCGGAATGCCAGTGAAGACTACTCCTAAACTATTGCTATACAAGAGCAGCCTTGTCCGTTGGAAAAATAAGGAAGAACTATTGGTTCGAGAAACTATCTAATAACTAGCTAGCCAGCGTTACTAGTTGCTTCAGAAGAGACTTTTTTTTTTTTTTTTTTTTTTGAGATTTCAACAATATTCTGATGTGGCCATTGTTAATGTCTGATCTTTATTACTCTTCTTCTAGTTTTTCTTGAGATAATAAATTAGTAATAGTTCAGACATTTAAGGTTCTCATGGCACTATTTTTACTGACTGATCTTTTTTACTTTTGTGACATTTAGGATAGAACGAGAACGTGTTTTCCGTTCTTGAGTTTAACTAACTAATCTAATTGTCGTACATTGATTCGAATAATTCAATACGATTATACGAGTACAGTCATTCGAAAATCTGTTAACAACTTCGAATAGAATCTTCTTCTTCTTTTTTTCTTTCCCTGATTCTGATTTCAAAAAATTTATTAGATTGCATAGATAATGAATGTTTTATTTCCTCTGTCCTCTTATTAGAAAATGTTAGTCTAAACGGATAAAAAGAAAGAATATATTTGTGACACGTTTTTTTTTTTATAAGTAAATAATATATTTTTGAAACAGCTGAAGTAAATAACATATTTACTGGTAAATTGACATAAACAGTTTATTTAGGCATAGATACCCGATCGTTTAATATCGATTTTAATTTACATCCATCTCTTTTTCTGGATCATATTGTTTGTAGTTCATCATGAATGGGAAGAAAAAATCAGCCATTTTTCAACCCATTATACAATTTCATTAGACACTAGAATATTATTTTGTACTGCTATTAATTTTTAGATTTAATTTTATAAACAATTATATTCGAACTGTCACATATTCCACCTTACTCATGAAGTTTACAATGTGCGATTCAGTATCCCGACCTTTAACACGCTTTACATTTCTGTCCATTTAGCACCTGGAAATTGATGTGGAGGAAGTTTATATGTACAATATTCGAATATCCCTCTTTGAATTAATATCGTTATGCTTCATCAATGATAATCCGTTTTGCCGGTAATAATTGGATGCTTATATAGTACTGACGTGCTAACAATAAGAATACGTATATAATGACGTGATGTCAGACACTGATTTAAGTCGAACTCACAATAATAATAATAATATAATAATAATAATAATAATAAATATTTACATAAATAACATTAATTAAAAAAATTATCTCACAATTAACATCATTTTTTCAGACTTTTATTTTCAACGCTACCGCACGCAACCGTTAAATCATCACCCCACCAAGTGTCTGTGATCGATATCTTGGCTCCATCGGCTGTCAATTATCCGTCAAGACTTCATATTTTTACGTGGCATGTGAAGTAAAGAGGGTACAAGTGGAATTCTCTGTGTCCCAGTACAATAATTAATGTCATCAAACTCGATGGTGTGTCATTTCTTTCCATTTCAACTTTAATCTTTACACGTTTGATTTCTTGAATTTTCATGTTTGCATACGATCGACGGAGTTATATTTATATAAATATACATACATACGTACATACGTACGTACGTACATACATACATACATATATATATATATATATATATATATAAACTATAATCGGAGAGCATGTCAAGAATATTTTAGGTTGAATGTTTCTCTCAGTTTTGATGAATACAATATAGTACCACTGTACCACCACCTTTTGTTTGAACATTAATGTAGTTTCATGCTTAATTATTTTGGGGCAAATTCTCCAACTATTAAAGCGCTTCAACAGCTTTCACATGAAAATTAACCAACGGGTGGGTCTTCATGAAGTTGCAAGTGAATATGGTACTTGATAATTATGTTCTTAATTACTCCAAACTGCTTTGCCCTAGTTGTAGAAATAATTTCAACGGAAGAGATGATTACAATTATTATGCTGTTAATTAGCAATTTCCTAGTCGGTGGCATCAGTGATGACGAGTCGATAATATCTATTAAGCTTAATTAATTAACATCGGTCAGCTAATAATTTCCAAACTGATATAGCTTCAATAATTAGCTATATATTTTCTGTTAGGCATTAGCTTTTAGGGTTTTGTCATTCTCATATTTCTCCTTCATAAAAAAAAAAAAAAAACATAATTTATATTAATGTGCACTTTTATTTACCAAAATATTGTTAGACCAAATTAAAGAAAAGAAAAGAAAGATCATTCTAGCTCTGATCTTGAGAGAAACTAGACATTTCATTCCAAAATAATTTATATTAGATAAAGAAGGTGGGCCTTGACACCGTGGTAGGAGCATTTGTGTTTGCACTCGGGGTTCAAGATTTGAATCCCAGAAACGGCCTCTCCTTTAGAGGGTAAGGCCGCGTACATATGAGATTGAACTTTCTTCCGAACCTGTCATAATACGAGAGCCTCTTTGACATTGGGGTCGGCCTTTTTTTTTTACTAGCTATAATATACTGTGCGCTGGAGCAAAGTAATTTATAACTTATAAGGATAGGTCAAATTAATGAGTGTTTACGTTTATATAAGTTAACGAAGCAAGCAAAACAAAAAAAGGTAATTTAACTAACGAAAGTAACAATGAAAAAACTTGATTAATAATATTTAATTCCAAGCTTTAATTAGGACAGATTTTAATTACTATTAGTGTCCGCTGATTAATGAGTTATGTCAAGAGAAAATTTGGTTGACAAGATAAATCTGGGGTCACAGATATGATTATCAGCTACTGTAAAAGGTTTCAGAGATCGATGTCCTGACCTGAATAGACATCAACACGCCCACAAGTACTTTTGCTTATAAATCTCTGCCAACTTTTCAAAACCTTTGTGAACAATTTAGGCCCAGTTTCTTTTGTTGTTTTGAATTTTATTAATTTAAATTTTTTGATTTAAACAGAAAAATTTTAATTGTGTAATTTAAATTGTAATTTAAATTAATATTTTGATATATAATTAAAATTTTAATTTAAACATAAAATAACATTTAAATTTGTGTTTGGTAGATATGAAAAGTAAAGAATGTATTTTTTACTGTTCAAAAATAATTTAAACGGTTGAACTTGATAAGTGAACTAAATTTTAAGTTGGGTCGTTTAACTCAGTTCAAACATAAAATATAATTCAAACTTCATGCTTATTAAACGTCAGTTGAAACTGTACTCACTGTTCAAATTAAGTTGAACTGAACTAAATTAGTGAAACAAACGAGGACTTAGAATATGATATTTTTTAAGGAAAGCTATAATTAGGTATCTTTTATTATTTATTAATTATTTGGATTTAGAAAACTCATTTCGAGGCGGTTATATATTCAAAGCAATCAAAAGTATACTGAAGGATCATCACATAATTAGAATGTGACCTTAGCTCAAAATTTTTAAACAATTTTTCTTATCAAGGTATAGATCAGGAAATGTATATATTATGTTAGACATGAACTTTGATTTTGATTTGTTGACAACATAATTAATTTTTGCGACACATTTTTTTTCACTTTGATTTTGACATGAGCTTTGATTTTCACTTTTGAAATCAAATAAAAGATCGACATATTATTTTCTTTTTGGGAAATTAATTTGACATGCAAATAGCGTATATTTTATTCCTTACTTAAATACAGAAAATAGTAGTTTGAGGGATTCCTGTGTCCTAATATGCATCAAAAGAGCCATCAATGAGGTCCAACTGAAATGACACCAAAGCCATGATTCATAACTTTATATTTCCTTGTTATATGCCCTAATATATCTTGATTTAACCCCAACTATAGCCATTAATTTTCTTTAGCTTTTAAAATAATGTGGTTTAGGCCCAAGCCACTTGAGCCTGTCGAGATTGTTGACGTTTGACACAATTATAATCACAACTAGCAGTATTTGATCTATGGGATTACAATCAATTTCTTTGTACCTTTTGCATTGATCAGGAGGCAACATTTTCACTTCTGTACGATGATGTCAAACTTTTTGATTGGACAATTGTGAGTACTACCATATTGATCGGCGTGCTATATATATATATATATATATATTAAACGTTTAATCAGTGTAAAGTGGATGTGTAAGTTACTTTCAATGTACATTGAGTTCTGAGTTCAAGTTTTAGGATATAGAAATTTTTTTTTTCAAAAAAAGAAAAATAATAATAACAGCCACAGCCCACACACTTCTCCGGCGAAATTAATAATATGCTCGTTGTGCATGTTCAATATTAATATCTACATAGTCATATATTAAGACTAGAAGTTGGTAGTCTGAGGTATATATATTCAATTCACTTTTCAATTGAAACAAGGATTAATTAGCATATAATAATTCTAAAAAAGGGATTAATTAGCCTAAGCTGCAGCCCATGTGTCTGAATCAATCACCACTAATTTCAAATTATGGATAATCAGACCTTATTTAAAGGTTGTTCCAGCCCAACATGATATTGATGTTTAACCAAACCTTAATTTTCAACTCTCTTGCATATTGTGCCTATGTACATTATAGTAAAATCTTCATATGTACGGTTCAAGACTTTAATGAGCCACCTCAATGTATACAGTTGATCATCCAACTTAACGTTTGGTTCATGGATTAGAATTATTTTCGATTTACGTGTATTTTTTGTGAGAGAAAACACTGTAGCGAACCATGAACCATGATTCAAATCATGGTTTGAATCCTCCAATCAAACATCCCCGACATGAGGCCTCAAAGAAGCGAAAGCTAATAATGCTGTGCCTGCATACTAGACTATAGCGTATGATGATGGCATTTAGAGCTTTTTATACACACGAGACAATGATATATAGCATATACATATTGCCCACACACTAATGTGTATGTGTATTATATATATATATATATATATATATAACAAAATTTTGATATTCATGCATGTTAACATATTGAAATATATTTATACATATGTATGTGTGTGTGGATTCATTGGTCCAACAAAAACGACATACGTACAAATGACGTCTAATTACCAGTACTAATACTATGAGGCTAACTAATATCCCATAGGATGCCCTTTTGCCAAACGTAAATTAGATGCACCATTATCCACATATATAAAGATGGTACTATTCAATCATAAACCTAAAGACCAATTAGGTATAATCAATCGTGAAATGGTCATTCAACTCCCAAAATGTGAGCATATAAATATGTGTGTGTGTGTGTACACACACACACGCACACTTCACAAAACAGCACAAAATACATGACATATATAGCCATATTAGGGTTATCTTTTTTTCGTCTCCTTAACCTAGTTACTTTCCAATCAGTTGAATAATTGATAGATCATATCATAATTAATCCATCTCGGTCGATCTTGAATTAATAAAGTCTTAGCCATGAGTAGAGGTGGAAGCTATGGCGGCGGACAGAGTTCCTTGGGCTACCTTTTTGGATCGGAGGAGCAGCCCAGTCCTCCGCCGCCACGCCGACCAGTTGAGCCGCCTTACGGCGTTGATACTGGCAGCGGCAGCTTCGAGAAGCCTCCGGTCCATACTAAAACTCGTACGGTAGATCCTTCCGAAAGGCAAAAGAATTCCAACAACTATCACCGAGCTGAAGGACAAAATTTGGGCAACTTTGTAACTGTAAGTGACTATCTTCTTTAGGAAAATTATATACGTGCACCTTTTCCTATAATAAATATGTCTGATCTATGTTAATTACTTCACAGGATCGTCCTTCAACAAAAGTGAAATCGGTTCCTGGAGGAGATTCGTCTCTTGGGTACTTGTTTGGAGATAAGTGATGATGTTTTACCTTAATTAATTTCCAATTTCTCTAACTAGATCTATTTTCATCGTTTAAATTTTCGCATATAGTAATTAATGTGTAATTTGTGGGTTATGGGAATTACCATGTAGAATAAGGGACTGATCAGCTCCCAAAAGTAGTGGTGGTGGATTTGGAAGGGAATTTAGTAGAAATATATATATATATATATATATGTGGTGTTTGATTTTCAGATATGAAGTAGATATATTTGTGTTTTGTGTTGTGAATTATGATCCTTATAATACATAGGCTGTATACCTATGTATGTGGTTTCTTAAGCTTGTCTTACGTGCAACATGTATAATAAGAGATTTTTTTCAGCAGAGTTTGAATATATATTCTCAGAATTACATGTATTTATTTAGTTCACATTCATTGATGGGGGTTGTAGCTATCTTTTTCTAGTTTATTGAAGATAACTCGTTGCCATAGTTGAAATGGCTCACTCCCATATTTGTTTAATTTTCTAATTTAATGCCATTTTTTTACTTTTTTGCTTAAAAAACAATAATTTTCTCATAGTTTCACTATATATTCAACTTGCTAGGGAGATCATGCAAGCTTTTTAAAGTTTTTTTTTTTTTTTTTTTTTTTTTTTTTTTCACAGTTGGAAAAACTAGCTAGTTGGCAGTAGGGCATGTATATCATGATGTCTATGTATTTCTGCCTATTGAGGAAACAAATTCCTACGTTCTCGGTGGGTGAATCACATCGATTGTCTGTTTCAGTTTTTCACGATGATCATGGGAATCTTCATCTGATTAGATTTCCTGTAGATAGCAGCTTATTCAAACAAAACTAAATTATTTTAGTAATTTGAATGATATAACTTGAATGATACTTTTCACTAATTTCTTAATTGAATATTAATGCATTCCACTATTTATGATCGAGAAACTAAATTAAGATTTTTATTTTTTACTTCCTTCTTCTGTATATGTTGAGCTAATTATTTTATATGTTTGTTCACACCCGTTTGTGTATAATCTATATATATATATATATATATATATATATATATATATATATGCGTACACATATATGTCGGCACAACAAAACAGCCCGGATGTGCGTATCTGTCATCAGCATTTTTAGTTGATATGTCATTCATTCCTCTTGAAATTATAATGCATTGCTAACTATTTGCTGTCTAGTGATCATGTTAATTTTCCACATGTACATGCAATATATCATTTCATTAATTATTTAATCAGTATTCAATTAGTACTGCAGTCACATGTATGATATATATGTCAATTGTGTGAGTTCTTAGAATGGTCATGAATGGCACAATAACTGAACTAATAAAGATCAATAAAAAGGCAAGAAACTATTTAAAGGATTAGTGAATGAATAAGATAGGAGTAGGCCATATACTACTTTCGCAATAAAGAAATTTAGCAAATGTTTCCCTTTAATTACCTTCCCTTCTTCAGATGAGAATATGTAGACCATGAATTCGGAGACATGGAGAAGGAAAAAAAAAAAGAAAAAAAAAACAAAATAGGGATTTCGATCTTAGGGCTTTTCTTCATTTAAAGGAGAGTAGAAGGGTATTAAGCACATCATAATATTTTCAAACACCTTTTATTAATTTGATGTCCCATGGTTCTTTTCCGACTGTTTTTAACTAAAAATATTCTAAAGACCAATTTAAAGTTTGGAATAAAGAAGTTGAAACTTTTAAAGATTAGAGGATAAAGTAAGAATGAGTATAAAGTAATTCAGGGACATAAATGAAATAAAACAAAAAAAAAAATATAGTGTCCTCCTTTCTAATATCAGAATTCTGAACTTTGATTGATGGATTACATATATATGTGTGCAACTGCTTTTAACAAATTCTCTTGGATCTGAACAGAACGTTTGAATAAAAATTTAATTTTTTGTGAGAAAAATATGTAGCAAAGAATATTTGAATTGTAGACATTCGAATGGTGTTTTTGATTGCGGAATTGTACACAAATTAAAGATGTACCTTCTTTACTACATAATAAACTGTTATTTGTCAACATTTGAATAACATATCTTTGGATCATAATCAATCAAAAATCAACAAATTGTCAAATGCAACGTCATTTGTTGATCATGTGTATGTGTGTCTATATATGTATATATATAACAAACCAAAATTAAAAATCCATATCATCGAATCAACATGGTCTCACATGCTATTATATGAGATTATAGTCAAGATCATGAATATAATCTTTAATATCACGTTTCAAACGATGCGGCACTAGTAGCGTTTTAATTGAAAGATTAAATATCGGATTGAATTATCTCTTTTTCCCATTGCCACTAAAACTCTATATGTATATATTTTCCTAAAGAGGCCAATAATAGGAGATAAATTCTGAGTTATAGTGTGCACATGCACATAGCACAACCCTTGCGCTAATTATAATTTTCGTCTTTACCCATTTTCTTCTTAGCTTATCCACACAGAATGCAAATTTGTACATTCTTATATTGGGTCTGAAATATATATATATATGTATATATGTATATATATATATATATATCCTTGCAATGGATATTTTTTAACAAGGTCAAATAAAAGGTGGGGTTTTCAATTGTAAATGCGGCATAACAGATTTATATCCTACTTTAAAGTGCCTTGCATGCTCTGTCCTTTTTAAAAAAAAAAAATAATAATTTAGGTTTATTGCTGATATGGTGGCTGAGGCTTGATCCCTTGATTCCCTATACAGCCTTATATCATGCGTATTTTATGCTTAATTGCTCATTATATTATTGGAATGTAATATTGACCGTGTAATATATAGAATTAGCCAAGGCAAACAAGTAAAATTCGTGAAAGGATGAACGTCATGTGCATGTCTTTCATGCAATTACTAAAATTTCAATTCTCATATTCTGTCACGAATTCCATCTTAAAAGATTAACCTCCTGATAGTAGTTTAAGTCCTTTTAAATTCATTAGTTTAGTCAATGTTTGTTTGCACAGTACTCCTGACAACTGATTTTGTGTTCCATCAGTTTTTATATGCCTGCGCATGTGTTTATTGTTGAACATTGAATAAACTAGTCGTTTTGCTTGTAAACTTAACTGAGGTTGGAATCACCTGATGTTCAACAAAAATTAAGCGGAAAAAGGGAACAAATACCCCTTTAAATATTACTTTTTTATGTTTAACCACAAATATTGACTCATTCATTTCTAGTCAAATAATTATATTAGTAAAAACTAAAAAGAGTATTAATTAAGAGTAAAAGATAAAAATTTAAATTCATGCACCTTAAGAGTAAGTTCATTAATTTTCTCAAGAGAAAACAAGAAAAACAAGACAAATACCACTCAAATAGGTACCCCAATCTATTTCTAACCCTAAATATTAGCTCATTGTTTTCTACAATTTTACAATTAAAATAATGAAAATAGTTAAATTAAACATTTTTTAAATTTCAAAGTTACCCTCAATAGTCTATTGGTAAATTATAAGATATGTCGGCGGTCCCCCGTTGCCAGTGACGGGCCTCCGGCTGGCCATAACCTGACGGGTTATGATCCATAACCTGACAGATTACACCGGCCACCAGCAGGTCTCCTGTCATAACCTGACAGGTTATGATCCATAACCTAACAAATTACACCGGCTACCGGCGGATCTCCGGTTGGCCATAACCTGACAGGTTATGATCCATAACCCGACAGATTACACCGGCCACTGACAGGTTTCCATCCATAACCTGATAGGTTATGATCCATAACCTGACAGATTACACTGGCCACCAGAGGGTCTCTGGCCGGCCGGCCATAACCTGACAGATTACACCGGCCACCGGCGGGTCTCCGGCCCAAATCTGACAAGTTAATCTATAACCTGACAGGTTATGATCCATAACCTAACAGATTACACTGGCCACCAGCGGGTCTTCAGCCGGCCGGCGGCTATAACCTGATGGGTTATGATCCATAACCTGATAGGTTATGATTCATAACCTGACAGGTTACTTGACAGATTATACCGGCCATTGGTGGGTCTCCGGCCATAACTGGACAAGTTATAATCCATAACCTAACAGATTACACAGGCCACCGGATAGTCTCTGGCCATAACTTGACAGGTTATGATCCATAACCTAACAGATTATAACCTGCAGTCACTGGCGTTAGTCATAGTATGATCCATCAGGTTATGATCCATAATCTGTGGGTATTTTAGTCTTTTCAATTTGTGATGATAAATATCTCATATAAATGAAAGGGGTAGAGTTTATTAAAAGTGGTAGAATTAGGAGATTTGGTGATTATGGGTAAAACATGTAATTCTCTCTTTTCTCAAATTTTAAGCACGCAAGTGTTGACCTTTATGAAGTGGGCCGATATTTGGGCTTTAGGACTGTAGACTAGAAGACCCAGTACTACTTTGACATGGCCCTTCATAACTTTTAATCGTTTACTTCAAATAACAAGTGTTTTTTGTTACTGATCAGAAAGTGTGAGGTACATCAACTGACTCAAACATATCTTACAATTTTCGTATGAGTTTCAATAAGATTATCTTGCTATATAGTGTATTCATTGGGAATTTTATTTGAAGAGTCGTTATGACAATTTGCGTATAGCACGATTGTCTTTCTTTGTGAGTTCGTAGGATTTATATAGAGCTCACACTTACCAACGACAACAAACGATCAATCATATCAGTCGTGACTGTTCTTAATAATGTTACTCTTTGTTTATGATGCGTAAATAGAAAAATCACCAAAATACTGCACATGATCAAATTGTAATGCCATGTTGATACATTACTATCATCTCCACACACAAAAACAACAAATATAGAGAAAATTGTTGAACTTATAACTTTTAAAAGTGCATGGATTTAGATTTTCTCTTTACTCTTGATTAGTACCTTTTTATTAATATAGTTATTTAACTAAAAAAGTTATTAATAAAAAATAAGGGATAAAAATTAATACCCAATGTACGGATTTGTCAAGATTTCTCATCATCATATTTATAAGTTAACAAACTCATTTCAAATAAGTCCACGTTAATACATATCCTATCATCATCATCATTTTGAGTTGTCGTTATTTGCACTTCAATAACAGCTCGTAGTACAAAATATTATGCTTAAGTAATTAAGATATCTTCGCAAGTATTTCACATCCTTTGATTTTTTGATAATTTGCAACGGAAAATTAAAGTAACAAAATCAAATACCAACCTTAGAGCCACAATGGAGGATATATGTGGGGAAGATTTCAAGAATGTCTCCATCACAATATGTTGAACATTAAAAACATAATTTCATGTCTGCAAATTCTTGTGAGCAACAACTAGAAGTAGTGGGACTGGCGTGTAATTGCACTACCAAAGCAACACCTCACATTCCAAACCATCACAAACAATTATTTTAAAAGGTCCAAACGTTGGGGTTCCTTTTTCCTTACCTAAATCTTGTCTCGTGAAAAATATCGGAACCCAATTGAAATTACACATTATGGATAACTAGATCCCGTTCATTTCACCGATTTGAATTTTACTACAGTAAAAAATTTTCAGAAACAATCACATATAACTTTTTTACTACAATAAGAAACTCTCACATAAAGTCACATCTCAATTCAAATTAAAAAATTAAATCAACGAAATAAACAGGTTCTAGATGTATTAGGTACAACTCTTGGGGTATATACTTCAATCCGCTTCTAACCAAAACGGATGCCTAATTTGTTGAAGTTACTTATACACTTTTTTAGTTAAAAAATGTAAAAACAGGAACAAATTTTTATCAATTTCAATAAAGTCGGCACACACTCAATTTATTAAAAGAAACACAAAATTTAAAATGAAAGGAAGAAAGGCATAGGAACCCGAATGCTTGCGCAAAATAAAAATTGTAAAAAGGAAAAACATTGATCGATTCATAAAAACGAATTATTTTCACATCTTAAAACCCCTTTCATTTCGAGTCCAAAGAGCACAGAGTGTTTTATGAGCCCAAAATGATCTACACACTTATGCACGTAACAACTGTAATGTGAAATGCAAAATTAGCCACGATCAAATAACAATTGGTGTTATTTTCCCAAGGTACCTACCTTCTCCATGGTTTGTTGCTTTTTCCACTGAGGTATGAAGGCCCCGTTCATTTCACTAATTCGAGTTTTTTTACAGTAAAAGGCTCTTAGAAATAGTTACATCTAATTTTTTTATTACAGTAAAAAGTTATCACATAAAGTCACATCTCAACTCGAATTAAAAACTCAAATCAGCGAATTAAACGGGCCCAATTTACTGCAATTTGTTCACCTTAGTCGGTGCCATACATCTCCATCAACATGGTTAAAGACTTTAGTCCCAATTAATTAAATTATACTAAATTATATGACACGTAAGACTAACACATCAGTCTATATCATGTATATGCCAATATATGTATTACAACGTCATCAATTTTCCAACTTGAAAAATAAGTTTGGAATTGGATTCACTTATCTTATGCAAAATATTGCCCGTGAAGGGGCTGGCCATGGAGTGTCGGGTGAGTGATCATGTGTGACAAAAGAAGTTGCTCACGGGTGGCAATGGCGAGTTCTGACAAAAGGAACCGTGACCTTTGTGGACCTAAGACCAAAGTCATCTCACCAATTGCATATATTCGTACATATTAAGACCTCGTTCGCTTAACAGATTTAAGTTTTTAATTCGAGTTGAGATGTGACATTTTTTGAGAGTTTTTAACTGTAGCAGAAAAAATTAGATGTGACATTTCTTGATAGTTTTTAACTGTAGAAACCTAGAACTGAAAACTCGAATCGGTGAAATGAACGATGTCTACATAGATAGTTGCCTCCTTCAAAAAAAAAAAAAAAAAAACCATAGATAGTTTGTCAAAAAACGAGGGCCGCAGAATCATATCATCCATTCTCATTCACTTCTTTTCAGAAAATGTAAGCCATAATTAGCTTTATTAGACCAAACACATTCCTTTTCCTTAATAAAAAAAAAAAAAGCTTTTAGCTACTGATGATCACTCAACCTCAATATAAATGTTCGGGGCACTAGTGATGATAGAATCACTTTCTATTAATTATGATACTCAACACTAGTAGTGTTTCTAAATAACTTTCAGACCTCAAATAATCTTTTGTTATTTCTTCTAGCAATCACAAAATTTGCACAAATTAGTTTATCAAGAAGAAAAAAAAAAAAAAAAACACAATGAGATTGCTTTATTATGTATGTCATGTATATGTGCTCATAGTTTGTTCATAGCTTATTTATTCTGCCCACCATGCGCGCATATTCCATTTTCAGTGTTTCCTTTAACAAAAAATAGTACGTGGGTGCCGCTTTTCATGAGTCTGTTTCCCACTTAGTCATCCTAAGATAAGATTATAATATCCTCGACATCCACGTCTAGAAATTCCATTATCTATGGTTTACTCGATCACGTTTTTTTTTGTTTTGAAACCCAGTTTTAGAACTTATTCTTTCTTATGAGACCTAGTTCTAATAGGAGTACAAGTTTAATGACGCAGTAATGTTCTTAATTTCTTTTCTTTGTGTGTACTCTATCATGTTCCAAAGAAAGGGATGATGCAATAATTATGAAATAAAACAATTTTGAGGATATTAATCAGGAAAATGTGTCTAACCATATTGACGGAGACATAAGGTTGTAGGGAAACGTGAAAAGCACATTGGAACAAAAGCTAAGAATGTATTAAGTCAAATGAAATTTGAACAATAACAAAGATGTCCTCTATGTTGAGCCACTTGAATAGCCTTAGGATTAGAATGGAAATAATGGATAATCTGATAAAGTCTGCCACGTCTGCATAAAATAAATTAACATCAAACCACAAGAATCCTAATCTAAGTAATTCAACCTTATTCCTAATAACTAACTAAAAGAGGGTAAATTAGAGGAATACTACTTTTAAAAAACGGAGGTATTCGGTTTGGTTTGATGATTTAAATTTTTAATTTGAGTTAAGATGCGATTTTATACGAGAACTTTTCACTGTAGTAAAAAAGTTAAATGTGACTGTTTTTTTAAAACTTTTTACTGTAACAAAATTTGAATTCTAAACTTAAATCGGTGAAATGAATTGGTAGCCTAATGGTAAGTATGAATAACTAGTTTTCGTGAGTGATTGAGCCTAATTTGCACATTATAAGAAGAAAAAGGTTATTGGTCAACCGAATGTAAAACCTGAGCCGCTCATTAATGTGGGCCCAATAAACGGTCCAGATTTTAGATCCATGATTAACATTTTTTTTTTACTTAGTCATCCTAAGATAAGATTATAATATCCTCGACATCCACGTCTAGAAATTCCATTATCTATGGTTTACTCGATCACGTTTTTTTGTTTTGAAACCCAGTTTTAGAACTTATTCTTTCTTATGAGACCTAGTTCTAATAGGAGTACAAGTTTAATGACGCAATAATGTTCTTAATTTCTTTTCTTCGTGTGTACTCTATCATGTTCCAAAGAAAGGGATGATGCAATAATTATGAAATAAAACAATTTTGAGGATATTAATCAGGAAAATGTGTCTAACCATATTGACGGAGACATAAGGTTGTAGGGAAACGTGAAAAGCACATTGGAACAAAAGCTAAGAATGTATTAAGTCAAATGAAATTTGAACAATAACAAAGATGTCCTCTATGTTGAGCCACTTGAATAGCCTTAGGATTAGAATGGAAATAATGGATAATCTGATAAAGTCTGCCACGTCTGCATAAAATAAATTAACATCAAACCACAAGAATCCTAATCTAAGTAATTCAACCTTATTCCTAATAACTAACTAAAAGAGGGTAAATTAGAGGAATACTACTTTTAAAAAACGGAGGTATTCGGTTTGGTTTGATGATTTAAATTTTTAATTTGAGTTAAAATGCGATTTTATACGAGAACTTTTCACTGTAGTAAAAAAGTTAAATGTAACTGTTTTTTTAAAACTTTTTACTGTAACAAAACTTGAATTCTAAACTTAAATCGGTGAAATGAACTGGTAGCCTAATGGTAAGTATGAATAACTAGTTTTCGTGAGTGATTGAGCCTAATTTGCACATTATAAGAAGAAAAAGGTTATTGGTCAACCGAAGGTAAAACCTAAGCCGCTCATTAATGTGGGCCCAATAAACGGTCCAGATTTTAGACTCATGATTAACATTTTTTTTTTCAAAGAGAGAACAAATAATTAAAGAAAATAAGAATTCTAAAAAAACTAACCTCGAGACAAAATCAAATAACGTCCCTGCGCTTTAAAGTCACGCAATCAGTACAAAAGGGTGGCTCAATTCTTACAAGAAACCTTCACCAATAACGTAAAGGACTTCAATAAAGTAAGAAAAAGGCTTTTAAAGATTTGTGAAGGAAAAAAAATAGTAATAAAGCCCACTAAATTAAACATTACACTAACTCAAGGCTATATATAGATATATATTCTTGTGAAGTCATAGCAAGAAACCAGAAGATCAATCATATTCCTTTTGTTACAATATTGTAGCATCGGCACAGCAATATTGTTTCAACAACTCAGGTAATATAACTTCTCTCTTCCAATATTCCAGTTTTTAGAGGGATTGATCATTTTCTTCTAAAGCAAATTTTGGTCTTTTCTACTCATATTTTGCAAAGCCAAATCTAACCCATTTGTTATTTTTTTTTAGTTATTGGAAATGGTTTTATTACTAGCCTTATTACTGCTCTTGAGCACAAATGGAATAGAAAGCCGAAAAGTGCTGCTAGTTGAGAGCTTTGAGTACTCAGCCATCAACTGCAGAGGCCACAGTGCCTCATTGACTGATTTTGGAGGAGTTGGCGACGGAATCACATCGAACACGGAGGCTTTTCAGGCTGCAATCAGTCACCTGAGTCAGTTCTCGTCGGACGGTGGATCGTTGCTCTTCGTCCCGCCTGGGAAATGGTTGACCGGAAGCTTCAATGTCACCAGCCATTTCACTCTTTTTCTCCACAAGGACGCTGTTCTACTTGGTTCTCAGGTTGTTAACATCTAAATCACTTCTCTATCTTTTGATTTCGAGTGTTGTTTAAGATCATAAAGAGTTATTATGAAACTCTATACTAGAGGTCAATGTGGTTAGCAACTTAACATCCAAGTCTTTCATCTTCTCTAATGCAAATGTCAATATCAATACTATAACAAAAGTGAAAATGACATATTTAATATATTATTTTATGCATAATTCTCTTTCAAACACTTTATGTCTATTGGTGATCATTACATATGCCGAATTTAATATAAAAAATAGCATTACATTAGAGAATAATTTTTGTGCTTAAGTACTATAAAAAACATTAAAACACTATTTTAACACCGCATTAGAGATGCGCTTAAGCTTGTATATATTATTTACTGTCAATATCAATACTATAACAAGTGAAAATGACATATTTAATATGCTATTTTATGCATAATTCTCTTTCAAAGACTTTATGTCTACTGGTTGTCATTGCATATGCGGAATTTAATATAAAAAATAGCATTACATTAGAAAATGATTTTTGTGCTTAAGTACTATAAAAAAACATTATAACACTATTTTAGCACTGCATTTTTGCACATATTATTTACTGTGACAGAGGGGAAAACAAAAAATTTGTTTTCAAATGATCAAAGGTCTTATGATGGCCCTTCATATTGTGTTTTGTCATGTGATAATGTGGTCATATGACATGTTAGCACAGATAGCACTCATCTTAGTGGTGCAATATATATTGAATTTTATATTCAATAGGCGTGTTTGAATATGGTACTTTGATCCACCGCCTGTGTTTTATTGGTTTGTTGATTGAGAATATGGCTTAAAGAGAGGGACCAAAAAAAAAAAGTATGAAATTATAGATACCATGAAATTTGGGAGGTTGAGAATCACAATGGTCCACTTTTTATGGCTTCTACTAATTACGGCATTCCCGTGAATAATGGGCCATCTTGTGAATTTTTTTTCATTAAAAGAAACAAGAAAACTTAGGAGGAATCTGTCCTTATTAGGACATAAAGATTTATTCCTTTTTTTTCTTTGAAAAATATAAGATTTTTACCATTGTTTTTTATCAACTGAAAATTATAAATAGCTTAAGAAGTGATTACGGGCAAAAAACAAAAAGGATTTGCAAGGTTTTATTTCAAATTTTTCGTATCTATATAAAATTTTAGTACCATCATTTTAAGCTTTTTATGTAGGATGAAAATGAATGGCCGGTGATTGAACCCTTACCATCGTACGGTAGATGTCAATATCAATACTATAACAAGTGAAAATGACATATTTAATATGCTATTTTATGCATAATTCTCTTTCAAAGACTTTATGTCTACTTGTTGTCATTGCATATGCGGAATTTAATATAAAAAATAGCATTACATTAGAGAATGATTTTTGTGCTTAAGTACTATAAAAAAACATTATAACACTATTTTAGCACTGCATTTTTGCACATATTATTTACTGTGACAGAGGGGAAAACAAAAAATTTGTTTTCAAATGATCAAAGGTCTTATGATGGCCCTTCATATTGTGTTTTGTCATGTGATAATGTGGTCATATGACATGTTAGCACAGATAGCACTCATCTTAGTGGTGCAATATATATTGAATTTTATATTCAATAGGCGTGTTTGAATATGGTACTTTGATCCACCGCCTGTGTTTTATTGGTTTGTTGATTGAGAATATGGCTTAAAGAGAGGGACCAAAAAAAAAAAGTATGAAATTATAGATACCATGAAATTTGGGAGGTTGAGAATCACAATGGTCCACTTTTTATGGCTTCTACTAATTACGGCATTCCCGTGAATAATGGGCCATCTTGTGAATTTTTTTTCATTAAAAGAAACAAGAAAACTTAGGAGGAATCTGTCCTTATTAGGACATAAAGCTTTATTCCTTTTTTTTTTTTTTTGAAAAATATAAGATTTTTACCATTGTTTTTTATCAACTGAAAATTATAAATAGCTTTAGAAGTGATTAAGGGCAAAAAAAACAAAAAGGATTTGCAAGGTTTTATTTCAAATTTTTCGTATCTATATAAAATTTTAGTACCGTCATTTTGAGCTTTTTATGTAGGATGAAAATGAATGGCCGGTGATTGAACCCTTACCATCATACGGTAGAGGAAGGGATACAGAAGGTGGAAGATTTAGCAGTCTTATCTTTGGAACAAATCTCACTGACGTTATAATTACAGGTATATTAATTCCAACTACCAATCACCACTTTCTAACGGACAAGTTACATTTTTTCCGAACTATAAATCTTGTCATAAAATGCTTATAAACGTTAATTTTAGTTTTTTTTCTCCGAACTTCAGTAACTCTTGTAAATTCTCCCCCTCTAGTAAATTCTTACTTCTATTATTGTTGTTAGCCATGAACCTCCAAATTTCTTAAGTCAAGTAAATTAAAAGAAAGCTGATGTAGAAAAAAAAAATGACAACTGCGTAATTAGACTTTTGTGTGACTAAATGAAGATGAGCTAACAGAGTAATTGCGTACTAAAAAGGGTTCAACAACACTCATTATTTGTGTGATACATGTTGTCTGTTAAAAAATCTTAGCATAAGGAGTTTTTTTTTTTAGTTTTTGCATTTCACGTGGTATTTTCTATCAAAAATTTAATTGAGGGAAAAAAATTGCAAGAGTTATTGAAATTTAGGGAAAAAAGAGTTAAAATTAAAAAGTTCGATTAGCATTTTGTGATAAGACCTATAATTCAGGGAGAAACATTTAATTTATCCCTTTCTAACTCATAATTTCATGAGAAAAAATTTGTGAAGCCTTTGATTCATGAGGCATCTTTTGTATCAGGTGACAATGGCACTATTGATGGCCAAGGTGAATTATGGTGGCAAAAGTTTCGCAGTAAACAGTTACTATACACCCGACCGTACCTGATCGAGCTCATGCATTCTGAGAATATTCAAATATCGAATCTCACTTTGGTCAACTCTCCATCTTGGAATATCCATCCCGTTTACTGCAGGTTTTATAATTTAATTTTTGTTTGTTTTGCATTCAAAGTATTTAATCAAGTTTTTTGAGCGTTTTATATTCTAAACTATGAAAATTGCAGCAATGTCATTGTTCAAGGCATCACAATCCTTGCTCCTGTAACTTCTCCAAACACTGATGGGATCAACCCAGGTAAAAGGTTTCCTCTTACCTTCATATCATTTTCTTGCTTTTCTAAGGAAAAAAAAAAAAACATACTTTTCTAAAAAATGAAAAAAAAAAAAAAAAAAAAACTAACTAATCAAATATGTTATCACATTAATTTATGCCAATTAGTATGGAAGAATGGACTATCTTAAGCTAATAGGAAGTGGTAGGGCAACATTCCTATCAGCATCTGGGACAATTCTAACGTCATGGATCATTAATAGTATCTATTATTGACGTATAATCAAACTTAAGACTATCCCGTATTAGTATAGAATCGTATAGTATTTATTTTTTAAGAGGGCTCAGGTATATGAATTTGTATGTGACACAGATTCTTGCACAAATACGAGAATTGAGGACTGTTACATTGTCTCGGGGGACGACTGCATAGCAGTGAAGAGTGGGTGGGACGAGTATGGCATAGCATTTGGGATGCCAACAAAACAGCTCGTGATCAGACGCCTGACCTGCATATCCCCATTCAGCGCCGTGATTGCGTTGGGAAGCGAGATGTCCGGCGGGATCCAGGACGTCAGAGCGGAGGACATTGTAGCCATCAACTCAGAGTCAGGAGTCAGGATCAAAACAGCAGTGGGGAGAGGAGGCTTTGTGAAGGACATATACGTCAGAGGCTTCACAATGAAAACCATGAAATGGGCATTTTGGATGACAGGGAATTATGGTTCCCACCCTGATGACAAGTATGACTCCAATGCTCTCCCTCTGATCCAGAACATAAACTACCGCGACGTGGTCGCGGAGAATGTGTCGATGGCCGCCAGATTGGAGGGAATTCCCGGTGACCCTTTTACCGGAATTTGCCTTTCCAATGTCACAATTGGACTCGCAAAGAAGCCAAAGAAATTGCAGTGGAATTGTACAGACGTGTCTGGTATTTCGAGTGGCGTGGTTCCTCAGCCTTGCCCGCTTTTGGCTGACCAAGGTCCGGATGCGGCCACAACATGTGCATTCCCAGAAGACACATTGCCTATTGAAAATGTTCAAGTCCAGACGTGCTCTTACAGAAGGGGGTGTTTTTGATGTGTACATTTTTAAGTTAAAACAAATCAAAATTGGTGGTTGTTAATTTACTCCGTTTATGGTTTCCACAAATCAATCGGAGCAATATATGTATATATACATATACACACATCAAGAATTGCCTAAATCAATCAGATTAGTATATCAACCACTATGTTGATCATAATGACACTACTTTATAGAATTTTTGAGCTTTTGCTCCATAAACTTTTTGTCCTTTCTAACTTTTAATTGTGACGAAAATAAATAATCAATTTAGTAAAAAAGTGCCATGTAGTTTATGAATCTTACTAAAATTTAGAGTAAACGTCCTTATACACGTGACATGACGTGCTCTGATCATTATTCAAAATTTTAAACTCTCCCTTTTAATGAGTTCATGTAATGTATATGAGAATATTTCCATCAATTTTTATAGCCCACCTATTTGAGATCACTCTGCAACATTTATTAAATTCAGGAGTAATTTGCCAATTGTAAAAATTTTACAAGAAAGATGTTTCAAGTACCCTATTTTACATTGAAAGTCCCGGATTTGGAAATCCATCAAGACTTATCTGTTGCTTTAGTTCAGAGCCAGTTATATTCAGTGCATGAATGTAGTCATCACAATATATTGTCTCAATTAAATATTGGTGCTTGAAGTAACAGAAGGGTAGCTTTTGATTTTATAAGAAACCTCCACCAGTTACGTTTACAAATGAAATGAATTCTTTTCTGCCACCTACTTTTTTAAGGAAGCATGAAAAGAATTCTATCCATATGATGACCTTGTATTCAGGATCCGTTATGGAGGAAATTTTAAAATATTTCAAGTCTGTTGTACTAAAGTAGAGTGGAGAAAGTTTAATGGTTTCAAAAAATATCATAATATTAAAATTAAACTCAAGATAAATGTACATAAATAATTAGATAGGTATATACATACATATACATACATATACTTTAGGACTCAATTTTGAACCATTAAATTTATATCAGATTTTATCAATTATATATGATATATATATATATATTCATTTCAATTTCAATGTAATATCAAATATAACGTTAAAAACAAGCACTAGAACAAAAAAAAAAGGTATATTATAAAACGCTCCACATATACTCACACACGTAGTTTTGAAGTCTTTTCAAGAAACTAAACGTTCAGCTCACCCCTTTTGTACAATGTGGTTTTTGCAAAGAATTGTCCAAACAACTCAGGTAAAATCTGTTACAATAACCCTTTTTCTTTTTTTTTTAGTAATCTTTAGAGCCAGCAGTAAACTCCAAAACCCAATTTTAGAAAATGCAGATAAATTTCTTTAATCTTGTTCTCTCTCTGTTTTTTTTTGTTTGGTCCTTCAATTTGGTATGCAGTCGTTGGTAATGGTCCCAACTCTAGTACTGCTTTTGCTCATGAGCACAACTAATGGAGTAGAAAACAGAAAACCAAACGCTATAGAGAGGTTTGAGTACTCAGCCATGAACTGCAGAGACCACAGTGCGTCATTGGCTGATTTTGGAGGAGTTGGTGATGGAATCACATCAAACACAAAGGCTTTTCAGGCTGCAATCAATCATCTGAGTCGGTTCTCATCGGACGGTGGATCTTTGCTCTTTGTCCCACCTGGAAAATGGTTGACTGCTAGCTTCAATCTCACCAGCCATTTCACTCTCTTTCTTCACAAGGATGCTGTTATTCTTGGTTCTCAGGTTATGACGTTTAAACCATTTCTCATCTCTTTACAAAGTAACCCTTTTGCTTCTTTAACCCTTCTTAGTTCTCAGGTTACAACCTTTTTCTTTTTTTTTTTTTTTTTTTCTAATGCCATCTGGTCCATTTTTCAGTTTGCAAGAAGAAAAGGTATTTTTATATATAATGATAAGAATAAGAACTCTTTTGTAGGATATAAAAAAGAACTTAGTGATAGATCACTGTTTTGAACCGTCAAATCTCTAAACAACTTCTATCAATTTTATATGCTTTTTTACTTCGATATAATTTCAACATGATTTAACATTTAAAAATATACATTATCGTGTTGCAGAAAGATCCCAATATAAAGAACGAGGATTATGTTTCGCGGAAACTTCCATGCCTTGGTTTTAGCTTGCTAGTTATATAGTGATATTAACTTTTTCTTAGTAACTAATTTGAGCTTAAAAATTATATAGGATGAGAGTGAATGGCCAGTGATTGAAGGCTTGCCATCATACGGACCAGGAAAGGATACCGACAGACGATTTAGCAGTCTTATCTTTGGGACCAATCTCACTAATGTTGTAATTACAGGTATAATAAACTATAATTGTTTGTAATTGGATTTAATCAGAGAAAAGTTATAAAAAGTCCACAATTTATCAAATATTAGGGGACAATGGTACTATTGATGGTCAAGGTGAATTGTGGTGGCAAAAATTCCGTAATAGAGAGCTAAAGTTCACCCGGCCGTTCCTGATAGAAATCTCATACTCTGAGAATGTTCAAATATCAAATTTGACGCTGGTCAACTCTGCAAATTGGAATATCCACCCTGTTTACTGCAGGTCAAATTGAATTGTTCATTTTTTTTTCCTTGTTTTTGCAGTCAAATTGTCAAGTCTTGTTTTGGTTCCTTTTCAAGTCTGATTAATTATGCAAAACGCAGCAATGTGATTGTTCAAGGCATTACAATCCTTGCTCCTGTTACATCTCCAAACACTGATGGGATCAACCCAGGTTAGGATTTTAGACATCTTAATCATTTCTTGCATTCTAAGCAAAGCATAAGTTCAAGAACTTCTTGCTTCCCACTGGGTTCTGCAGCTGTTGAAAATTCATTTGTTGTGTCATAATTGATAAAATATAACTAAGTTATGCATGTGTTGTATTTAACCAACTGAAACTTGGTGATGCAACCGCCACATATGTAACACTATATCAAAATCGTCAAGGTTGTCATACTTTTTCGCTATATGCAATTATATTTTGTTTCCATTTAAATAATGATACATCACCAGTGGTTGTGCTACTTGCCTTTACCGTCTCGATTGATTAACCAGAATTTACGCATGTGGCACAGACTCCTGCACAAATACAAGAATTGAGGATTGTTACATTGTCTCTGGAGATGATTGTGTAGCAGTCAAGAGTGGCTTGGATCAGTATGGCATTGCATTTGGGATGCCAACCAAACACCTTGTCATCAGACGCCTCACATGCATATCTCCAACAAGTGCTGTGATTGCTCTGGGAAGTGAAATGTCTGGTGGGGTTCAAGATGTGAGGGCGGAAAACATCGTTGCCATCAGCTCAGAGTCGGGAGTAAGGATCAAAACCGGCAAAGGAAGAGGAGGCTTTGTGAAGGACATATATGTCAAAGGCATGACCATGCACACAATGAGATGGGTGTTTTGGATGACAGGAAATTATGGCTCCCATGCAGACAATGGCTATGACCCCAATGCTCTTCCTGTGATCCAGAACATTAATTACCGCGACATGGTCGCCGAAAATGTGACCATGGCATCTTGGTTAGAGGGAATTCCGGGAGACCCTTTTACTGGAATATGCATTTCCAATGTCACAATTGCATTGGCAGAGACGGCGAAGAAATTGCAATGGAATTGTACAGACATTGCTGGAATTTCAAGCGGTGTCGTTCCTCATACCTGTGAGCTTCTTGCAAACCAGAGTCTAGAGAAGTGGACAACATGTGATTTCCCAGAAGACATCTTGCCCATTGAAGAAGTTCAACTTAAGAAGTGCTCTTTTAGAAGCAAGTGTGTGTGAGAAATCATTCAAAAGCAAGATAAATCAGAAAGGGAAGTAATGCTTGACTTGAAGCTTCCATATTTTGGATACATCAAATGCAATGTTATTAATTTATTAATTTACTTAGGCAAGGGTTCATTAGGAGGAATAAGAGGGGAATAAGAGGGGGCAAAGGTTTGTTAGGAGGAAAGTTGTTAGTTACAAGTTAGTTAAAGGGTGTGAGATAAATAAAAAGGGGAGGGGGAGCTGAGGGAAATTAGGAAGAAGCTAGTATATATATATATATTGTTTTATTGGATATATATGGTCAACAAATCAAAAGCAAAACGTGTTTTTAAATCAGGTTAATATACAATAATCTACTGCTATCTACCGTGTGCAAAGAATCTATTTTCTACCACTTTGGTGATTATAAGAATATCATATCTGAACTTGATTTGGAAATCCCCTACGATTTGCTCGATTGCTTGAATTCAAAGCCAATTACAAGAATGCTGTCGCAATATAATTTTCCTTAATTTTCGTGTACTATTCAAATGCCCATTTTTTAAAAAAAAAATTATTAACATATAAGTTGTCGTTATTTTTGTGTAGATTGTACATCCATGATACATAAACATACAAGTCAAATATTTCTGCTTGAAACAAACAAGCCACATCAGGTTAGCTTCTGATCTTGCATAGGAAACCCCACCTACCTATCAAGAGAAATTTATATAAAATATTCTTATAATATCTTTTGGATCCATGTTACCCAAATAAAAATATATATATTCTTGATTATAAAAAATATATATTCAAAAATCGTTTTGATGTCTCAAGTTTTGTGTTCCATCAACTCAAGACTTGGGAGTTAAAATCAAAACTGGAGGAGGAAGAGGAGGCTTTGTGAAGGACATACATATAAGAGGGATGACAATGCACACAATGAGAATGGTATTTTTGGATGACAGGAGACTATGGATCTCATCCAAACAACATGTATGATCCTAAATTGTATGACAAGAATTGCTCTTTGGGAATTAAGTGTTTGTCATAAATCATTTAGAACCAAGACAAAGTAAAAAAGAAAAAAAGAAAAAAAAAAAGAAAAGAAAGACAAACTAATAGGAACTGGCTCCTTGACTATGGAGAATGCATATTTTGGGTACACAAACAGAAAATTATTAATTTAAAGCATAAGCAAACTATTCTTGGCAATCTTTATATTTAGTTATTTTTGGTACTTGATACCTATTTTTCTAAGTGGCATTGCTTTATACTTAGCAAGTCATTACATCAGTTAATGAATAAACTTTGGTGTCCCTATAACCTGGTGCAAACATCAGCAAACCATGAAAAGCCAGCATAAGAAGACCATGTTAACTCCAAAGTGTGTAACTTGAACACATGAGAGAGGGAAAAGCAGCTTTTCATATCAATACTGGTTTTATTTGATCGTTAACATGGAAAAAGAAACCTTGTATGAAAATGCAATATCACAATCATAAGTCCAAGTTTTATGTCATATGTAATAGAAAGTTGGCACCATTTTCTTGTCCCTAACTTTGAACTTTTTTGCCTTGGAGCCTTGATAGCTCATACAATAACCAATTAACCAAAATGACCATCCACTTGGAGCCTGCTGATAGTCAGTCAACACTCAATTGCTCAGCTCATTGCATATTAGTTGACCTCAAGTTATGAGCAAATCAATCTCTAGTGCTATTCCTATCATCCGGGAACGATATACCGTGTACAGGGGAAAAGTTTTTCGCCATATATTTCTATACCATAAGCAAAGCATGATATTTTAGTAGGTAGGGTCCGGGTTGAACTTCACTGATTCTTTCCAGATGAGCTCTTTGATGTTCTCTTCACTGCATGATGGATGCTCAAAATCAAAATTGAAAGGCCTCGGGCAGACGGGCTCATCATTGATGTCATGAAGGGATGACAAGTACGGGTGACAAAGCGCCTCTTCAACTGCAAATAGATGCAGAAATCGGAAGTTAGGAAGGAAAATTCGGTGATGTAAAAGATCTAATCCTGCACATAATGATGCTGGGCAAATGAAATTTTCATTTCTTGTTTTACCAGTAATGCGTTTGTTGGGATCAAACACGAGCATCTTCTCAAGCAGATCCACAGCCCCGGGTGACATGTTGGGGAATCTAGCAGCGAATTGTTGCTTCCGGCATTGAGGAAATTGTTTCATGTATCTTCGTGCATTATCACTCCGAAGAAATCCAAGGCTAGCATCATCAGGTGAACCTAGTAACTTCACACAAAAAAGAATGGTAGCACAAGGATATTTGTCACATCTAACAAGCATATATATAAAACAAATAGACTCACACTATTGGAAAGATGAAACCATGTAAGGCGGGCACATGAACTCTTGGAAGGAAGTAGCCAAGTGGCAAACACAAAAGGTCATTTGCTGAAAGTCCAACAATTCATACCTCTGTGATAAGCCTTAGCTGATGAACATAATCTTTCCCGGGGAATAAAGGTTCTCGAGTCATAATTTCACCAAGAATGCAACCAACAGACCATATATCAATGGCAGCAGTGTACTCTGAACAATTGAGGAGCAACTCCGGTGCTCGGTACCAACGAGTGACAACATACTCAGTCATGAAATCCGTCTCAGATGTCGTTCTTGCCAATCCAAAATCACCAATTTTGAGGTCACAATTAGCATTTAGAAGCAAATTACTGGGCTTAAGATCACGGTGCAGGACATTGGCAGAGTGTACATACTTCAGTCCACGTAACAGCTGATACAGAAAGTACTGCAAAAGATGTTCCACGAAATGTAGGTCTCATGCAGAGCAACAAATGCAAGCATAATTAAAATTGCACTTTCTATTAGAAAACAAGGGAATTGGAATAGTTCAGAATTCAATTCTCCTTTCAAATACAATTATCTCTCTATCAGCAAAGTAAAGCATTTTAGCCTGAAAACGAAGTTACAAACATGATATAACTGATGCTCATTAGATGACTTATCATTAAAAGACAAATTAGCTGAGCATTGGAACTAAATATTCACAGCAAAAAGTCCGAACAGTTGGCAAACCTGACAGTGATCATCTGTTAGCGGTTGGTCAGAACGAATGATTTGATGAAGATCAGTGTCCATTAATTCATAAACAATGTACACGTCATTGAAGGTCTCCTTTTTTGGCGGTCGTATGATGTCCTTGACGGCAATGACCTGGGGAAGGAGGAAAAAAATGCAATACTTCCAGCTGATTCAAAACAATGGATTGATCAACCAAGTAATACACTGAAACATAACTATCAAAACCACATTATTGACATGTATTTTAGATTTGAAAGTGTGTGATCATAAAAGTAGATGATCATAATCGAACATTTAACTGAAGCTATCATTGTCCAAGTTCTTCACCATGCAAAAGCAATACACTTTTTCATATAAACAGCCATAAATGCATGCAGTCATATTAGTGAACAAAATTTGGCAAAAAGGTTGAAGCAGAATCCTATATTAACAATGGCAAACAACCACCAATAGGGTAGTGCAATGTCAAAGATGTCTTTTCTCCTCCTTGGATGCACCGACATTCGATACTCAGTAGCGCCAATCAGAGGTCCCACCCAGCCAAGGAACTATACAGGGTAGGACCCATGGTGGTGTGAATGAAACTGAAGTCTGAACCCATCCTTCAAGTAAAATTGGGTTAGACCCTTTTTGTTCCATTGGTGGATCCTGGGATTTCTTCTATAAATGAAGGGGATGGAGCGCAGGATGACACCAATAACCCCCCTTTTTATTCAGCCAATAAAAGGCTATGGCAAATCGAGAAAGTGTGTATGGCAAATCGAAAAAGTGTGCGCTTTCGAAGTTATGCTTAACAAATAACAGGCCTAAAACTTACATTTTCGTGCTCCATGTGGCGAAGAAGCTTGATTTCTCTCAACGTCCTTTTGGCATCTATTCTGTTATCAAATGCATTACCAATCTTCTTAATGGCAACTTCCTCGTGTGTATCTGAATTAACAGCAGCACTGAAACAAAAGCAATCGCGTTATCCACCGTTATGTAATTAACAAACTATCAAGATCTTTCACAATTCATATTAAATTGGAATTAAGGCTTATCTAGACTTGGGAGCACATAATAAATAGGACCCTGAATATTGGAATCCGCATATATCAACTTTCCAAGCAACAAACAAGTCGCCATAAACATAATTCAAAGTAAGAAACCTCAAACTTCTACTGGTATACAATCATATTTACACAAACAAGAAAAGGAAAAAGAAAATATTCTAATTGATATTATAATAAGACACATAAGGGTCATGAAATCATAGTATATTAACTTGCACCATACTGTAACTATTTGACATCTTTTTTGTTTTTTTTCGGATAAAGACATCAAATTTCCTTAGAAAGCTTTTTTATAAGCATCATATCAAATAACCTTAATAATACAAGAAGCTCTATAAATACTCAATAAAAGTTCTTTTTTTACACACACAAAAAAAAATCCCAGATGAATCTTAAGCCACAACCAAAATACCAAGAAACAAAACTAACCAAGAAATCTACGCAAAGAAATAATAATTAAAAAAAAAAACCCGGAAAGAAGAAAGATTCAAACAGAGAGAGAGAGAGAGTAAAAAACTGTTTTGAGCGATAAAAACTTACCAGACAATGCCATAAGCGCCTCTACCAATAGGGCGAATGGGAGGGACGTACTTGCTGGAGACCTCAAACAAGTTTCCGTACACATTGTACTGCACGTACCGACCGCCATGAGTGAGCACTCCTTTGATTTTACTACTCTCCGCTGAAGAACCAGAGCTCGATTCTTTCGTTGCCATGTCTCTCAAGATCAATTAAAATTAAAAAAAAAATTAAAGGAAAAAATAACAACCAAACCAAAAATGAAGAAGCTCTTTTTTTTTTTCGGTTGAGAGTCGTTTGTTGTTTGAGTTTTGAGCAAAAAGAAGAAGTTTGGTGTATTTGGGCGGACTATGGTCAATAATTTTTGATAACCATTAATGGGTTTCGTGTAAAGCTGTGAATGCCCATGCTCACTACTCTCTCTCTCTCTCTCTCTAACTTTCTCTCTCTGCTTTTGATCTGAAAACGGCTTCAGAATCCGTGAAATGAAGCGGACTTTTTCTTCCTTTGAAAAATCCATGAATTAAAAAAAATTTAAAAAAAATAAAAATTAAATAACACTATAATGATAGTTGATTTGAAGGATTTTATTGGGATTACGGTTAAGTCATTTTTGCATGAGCTGTTTGGTGTACACGCGTCCGGTTCCGTACCTTCAAGCTGCTGCCAAAAAATCGTTAAAGTTAGACGGCGGTTTTTTGTTAGAAACCACGTCTCTGTCTTCCTCTGTTTCCCCCTTCTTTTCTTTTGTTCTTTTTTCCCGGGAAAATAATTAATTAATTTTTTTGAGATAATAATAATAATAATTTTATGGAATTATGAGAGTATGAAAATTTCTATTAGAAAATGTCACTTGAATTGTGAAATAAAATAGGGATTACTTTTTATTGAATAGGAATATATTTATATCAATAAAAAAAATATAGTTGTACCTTTATTGATAAAACACAAGTGTGTGTGTATTTTAATTGTTGTACTATTTGTTTATTTATTGAGAAAAGCATTAAAAACTCGAGTGAATTTTCCCTATAATAATGTGAAATGATCTAATAATATGTTGTCGTTGTTGTATACAAAAATTGCATATATCACTTGGTATGTGATAAGGGTATTGTTCGGGGAAAAAAAAAGGAAGGGTATTGTTGTTTTCTTTAAATAAATAAATAAATAGGCGTTTTCAGTTATCAAATAAAAAATTATAAAAAAAAAATCTCTTTTTTAGCACAGTGAACCTTTTTCTCTATTATCTTTATTTATTTATTTATTATTTATTACTTGCTCTACACCTTTTATCATTTGCATAAGTGTGGTCATAAATATGCGTAAAGCCATTTGTGAGTAATTCAAAATCTAATGGATGATTTAGACACAATTTTCAGAGCATTACCAAGTTGACCTAAACTGGTAATAACAGTCAAGAAAGTTTGGCCTGTTATATGTTCACGATATTGCATTATAGATTTTGACTATAATATATATATTTATATATATATATAAAGCCCCATTTTCAGTTGTCATATTCATATTTTGTTTATTTTGCGTATTTTTTTATTTAATATGATTCTAATTAAATATAATAATTAAAAATTGACCTTACAGAAAGATCTAAAAAACCCGGAAAAGGGGGAGTGAGTCCGTTCTATTCTTCTCCTTGTGTTTCCAGTGTACGGCTGCGATTAATTGCTTGTTATATCTGTTATTTGGTCCACGATTTGAACTTTGGAATTCAACGTAGAAGAGAATAACCCTTTTGACAATTGACTTTTATTTCACGACATTATCAACAATCACACCCTGTTCTCCGGTCTACCACAAAAAAACATTAACAAAAGATAATGAGAAAGATAATTCTCTTTTTCACACCTCTAATGTTTGCTAAATAGTAAGGGTCCGTTTAGTTCGCTGATTTGAGTTTTTAATTTGAGTTGAGATGTGATTTTATGTGAGAGCTTTTTACTGTAATAAAAAAATTAGATGTGATTGTTTGTGAGAACTTTTTACTGTAACAAAACTCGAATTCTAAACTCGAATTAACGAAATGAACGGGACCTAAATATTGGCCGAACTTTGGTAGTGTTTCTACTTCCTCACGTCGGGTTGTTTTAACATTTTTAATTTCCTTTACGCGTTAATATGTTCTCATTGCTGAATTTTTCAACTATATTGACGGTCCATTTTCTCATATTTTTTCCCTGATAGATACGTGATGACTTATGTGAAAAGGAAAAAAAAAAAAAAAAAAGGAAAACGTAAAAAAAAATATATGAACAAATAAATAAAGCGAGTGAAACCATTATTTTTTACATTCCTCCATGTATAACTCAATAAGAATTAGCTCATAAGATAATTAACAACAATATCAATTAAAAAAAAAAAGCCAAAGTGGGATGTATTATGCATTTTCATATTCTCCAATTGACCATTTTATAAATCTTATGGCTCGTAGAAGATAGAATTTAGAACCTTTCCATAATCTTCTTATTGGGTAGGACTTACCCAACTACTCCAATTAAATTTTTATGATGATTTAGCTTTCAAGTATCTTTCTCAAAACATTTATCTATATTTTCTTTATTCAACTACCCATCTAGTATTTTTATTAATAAAGCGCTTTTTTGACAAAATTTCCTCTCACGGGTCTTTCTCACCCTTTAATCTTTAACAAAAACTTTATGCATCATCCTTCTCATCCATTCAACTCACCTGATAAAAGTCCCCATCAATTCAGTGATTTTTCACAGTATTTCCATGTCTTTTAACTGCTTTCAATTATTTTTCTTTTCGTATGAACTTCATATTACTTGCCAACTTTTTTTTTTTTTCTGTTTTGAGTAAAAAAAATGTTTCTCAATTTCATTGCTATCTTGAAATCTATGAATATGAACCCATCTTGGTACGGATTCTTGGTTTTTGAGGCAAGTGGGAAATTTTAGTTGTTGTATGATAAGTCATTTTTCATTTCAAGTTGCCACTTTTGACAAAGTTTTGAATTGTAATGGCTATCAAACAACAACGGCTTAATAGTTTTTTTTTTTTTTCAAAAAAAAAGATGTTTTAATGTGGATATCCGCCTTTCATGGTTTGGTAGTTGTAGTCACGAGATGGTTGCTTTGGTTTAGGTCATATGCAAATCTATTTGCCCAACAAAAGCCTATAATATTACATTAAAAATTCCTTTAAAAGCTTAAACTATTTAAAGTTGTTCATGAATGGGTGAATATTATGCCAATAGATTTAGACGATGAACTTATTTGGTTGGAGGAAGTTCCACCTCTATATAATTTATTTCTACTTGGTGAATAAGATATAATAAATCAACCGGTATATATTATTTAATATCATAAGCAATCAACCGGTATATATTATTTTCCTAGAAACAAAATAAGAAAATAGAGGTATTTTGTCAATGATCACTGGGTGAAACGGTATAGAATAGGGTGGGGTGGACTTTAGAAGAGTTCAGATTCGATCTTGCATTATATTAAAAAAGAAAAAAAAAAATAGGTATCATATTACACTATTCATGTATCTTTCTTGAGACCTTTGACATCATTAGGCACAAAGAGAATTGTAAGCAAATTAAAATCTTAGTTTACCAATTTGTTATGTTCTAAAAGGCTTTTTCTGTTGTGGGGTTATACTTGTATCTAGCCATTCGACCACATGAAGAGCTATGCCTTAATGCTTAGTGCATCGTCCCTAATTTTCCTTTGTGACTTTTCCTTTAAGATTTTGAAACACTATAAGAGGGCGCATGCAATAGCCAAGACAGCCTGTTTAGCCACCAAAAGTAGATCATGTGTAAATCACAAGTGCCTAATGAATCAATGATTTATGCCGGCATATTTATCATTTTTGCTTGATGAAGATAGTGTTTTTGTGTGAATCAGAAGTTCATTGCATTTTAATCAGATATTAATTTATGGCCGAGTTGAGATGTGACTTTATGTGACAGTTTTTTACTGTACTAAAAAAATTAAATGTGACTGTATCTGAGAGCTTTTTACTATAACAAGACTTGAATTTTAAACTCAAATCGGTAAAATAAACGAGACTTTATTGTTGATTTTTCATACCAGTGACATAAAAAGTTAATGATAAAAGAGCTTTCAGACCATCTTTATCTGATCCTGCAATTTGCTGCGAGCTTAATTGACTGGGAAATTTATGGCGGTGGAAAAGCACAGTTAAGATAGTCTCTTTTGGTGATGTATGTACTCATGTTTACTGAGTATGACTGCCCAACAAAAATACTCGGAAAACAAGTAGCGTTAGATACCACAATTAATAAAAGGCGTATAAAGTATATATTGTGAGATACACATTCTTTTAATGTGTGGCATTGAACACCATGAAACATTGCTTTGTGAAAAATTGTATTTTGAATGACTCCTACTGTATATGTTACGTTCTTATACATGTGAAGAATCTTGTGTAATCTAAAAATCTAAAAGATACTTCTTCCAATACCTTAACGTTCACATTCATTTGTGCTGAGCTCACGTCTCATCCCCAACAAAATATGCTACAAGTTTCAAATTCGAAGAAACCAAGTAGAATGGCATTTGCGACATGCATTTCCTCTTACCGTCGTTTATCTACTGAAAGTTTTCAATGTTGATTGTTTTCATATTGTTGTCGTTTTTCTGTTGTTGTTGTTTTGGATTGTCGTGGTTTTTGACATTTTTGTTGATGACGTGCTTAGACTTTTCTCTTCAGATTCGTGTCGCTTTTCAAATCGTTATACTTCTCCGTTTGTTGTAGCTTTTACAATGTTTTTTTCTTCTGCCATTTTTTTAGATTGATGTCGTTTGTGTGGTTCTTGTCGTGGTTTTAGTGGGGTCGCTTTCTTCAATTCACCCGATGTTTTTATTATAAATAGTAGCTGTGGACCTCAGTTATTATACAAGTCAGTCAAAATTAATGTCAGAATCTTATTGTGTAAATAATAAACGTAAATCGTAAATACTGTGTAAATAGTAACTGTGTTTATTTTTTTTAAAGGAAAAGATATTATATTAACCGTGTAGTAACCATGTAGGTAAAATTCATATATTTTTCTTAAAGGAAAAGATAAATTGACCAATAAACATATTAAATTTGTCTTAATCGTGTTAAACAAGTCATTATTATATTAATTATTTATTCAATATATTAATTTAAACGGGTTGACACGATTAACATGATTAATAAATTTGTCGTGTTTGGGTTGACATTTTTTACACGTTTAATAAACATGTCGTATTTAGGTTGATGTTTTCTGACACAATTAATAAATGGGTGGACACAAACACGACCCACTAACATGAATTGTCACCCTTATATAAATGCATCTAGAGTTAATGGGTCTATCTGATACCATTAAATAAAATAATAAGAAGTTACTATAAGAAAATGCGAAAGCAATGATTTTCCATTGTAAACATCTTAATGACGCCTTGAAATGTGAATATCTCACGGTTAAAAATCCACTTATCTTTTAGAAAAGTCTGAAAGAGAGATACGATCACCAAAAAGAAGTCGTACTTCCCGTTACTCACGATGAGTGAAACAATTTATGTTTCTAGGATTTTAAGAAAGTCAACAACTATAATCGTAGATTCAAGGAATTGACAAGTAAGATTTGGGTGTTCTAAACTAGCTTGGAGCAAGGAACGTTCGTGGTCAAAAAACTCAAGTTATCGACCTAATCGTTTGCTAGGTAAATAAATTAATTTGATTAATTTATTCGTGCATAAATTAATGTAATCTATAGAGTATCTCAAAGTTTTATGAAAATTTTGTTATCAACGATCCGCTAGTTACACGTTTCTGCATCCGAAATCGTTTTAGAAACCAACAATAGGGATATTAATATTCAATACATTCAATCAAGTGACAATGCAATAGATCTTTTCACAAAAACACTTCCCACTACAACATTTAGAAAGCATATCTATAATATCGGGATCCGTCATCTATGAGATTTATGAGGAATGCCTATACATGTCAACTTGATGGGGAGTTTACGTGACTGTACTCTTTTTCTCTTATTATGATTTTATCCCACTATATTTCCTGATAAGGTTTTTAACGATGTAGTATAAACACGTATAGATAAATGATGTACTCTTTTTCTCTTTATTATGGTTTTTATCCCACTGTGTTTTTCCTAGTAAGGTTTTTAATGAGGCATCCTGAATGGTGGACCTCTAAGAGGAAGTGTTATAAATAGTAGCTGTCTACCTCAGTCAAAGTTACTATGTAAGTCAATCAAAGTTACTTTTCATGTCAGAATCTTACTTTGCAAATAGTAAGTATTATGCAAACAGTAATCGATAATCTTACTTTGCAAATAATAAGTATTATGCAAACAGTAATCGTGAATAGTGCCAAAATTTTTAGTTTTGCATTTTAATAGTTTTCATAACAGTTTTGATATTGTTATTGTTTTATGCTGATGTTGCAATACGTTGACGTTGTTATCAAACTATTGTCCTTTTACCGTATTTTCAGATTCGGGTAGTTTCTATTTTACTGTCGTTTTGTATCTTAATATCGTTTTCCTTTTGGTGTCTTTTGTCGTTTACTTGCAGTTGTTTGTTACACACTGCTTCTATAGTGCCAAAATTTTTAGTTTTGCATTTTAATAGTTTTCATAACAGTTTTGATATTGTTATTGTTTTATGCTGATGTTGCAATACGTTGACGTTGTTATGAAACTATTGTCCTTTTACCGTATTTTCAGATTCGGGTAGTTTCTATTTTACTGTCGTTTTGTATCTTAATATCGTTTTCCTTTTGGTGTCTTTTGTCGTTTACTTGTTGCAGTTGTTTGTTACACACTGCTTCTATACTAACGTCGTTTTTATGTTTGATGCTGTTTAATATTAATTGAGTAGGTCCTTGTCGTTTCCAAGTGTTTTAGGACTTGCGTCGTTTCCATATTTGCGGTTTCTGTTATTTCTACGGAATGTCGTTTTTACGTTGAACGTTTTGCTAGCTGCCCTTTGCGAACTTTGTTGTCGTTTTTTTGTTTTTGTCGTTTTAATTTGATGTCTTTTGTATAATATTGTTGTTTTCTCGTGTTTTGAGTTAATGCCGTTAATCGTTTCTTGTTGTTTTCACCTTGTCGTTCTCCATTTTTATTGTCGTTTTCAGGATATATTATTATTTATGTAACCAGGAAATATGTATTTATTTCTTTTTGGAAGTTTTTTTTTTAAATTTTTTATTTTTTTTTTACTTGATGCTTGCAACCCAAAAAAATAGGAAGTATTAGGGCTTTTACTTTGGGTCTGTCCACCATTCTCAAGGATCCAAGCCCAAATTAGATAACTTACTCACTCACGTAATCTTGATAAATACTCTAAGTTAAAATTTTTATTTTTTACTTTTGATCCATAATATTTTTAATTAAATAATTATATTAATAAAAAAATAATTATTAAAAATAAAAAATAAAAATGTAAACTCATATACTCTTAAAATTAAATATAAAAAAGTAATTATTAAAAATAAAAAATATAAATATAAACTCATGTACTCTAAAAATTAAATTATCGTGGAAAAAACGAGACGGGCTACGGAGAGTATTCCAAAAAGCAACGTAAGAAAATTCTCGACTCAGAGAATAATAATAGCGATTATTAAGCAAGTAAAGAATTCAAAAAACAAAACAAAAAAAAGTAATGTATTAAATTTAATTTTAGGCCCCGAACTACAGCCTCGTCCTATTTTGGCCAACATATTTTAGAATATTACAACTTACTCCCCAATCTATTTTGAGAGTCACACATTTGATCCTTCTCTCACAAAATCATTAAAAATTGAGAATGATAGTGGAAAATATGAGTCAATTCTATGTTTATTTATTCTTTTTTATCTTAAAATGGGAGTGAAATTAGTGTGTCCCACTCAAATTTGAGATTAAGGATTGAGATTAGCACTTCCATACCCCCTTAGGATTATGACTCACATTTCTAATATGAAAATTAAATTACTATCATACCCTTATGTTACTTACAAATATAAAATTAAAAAAATAATAATTACAACCTATATTTACTATTTTATTTGTCTAATATTGTAATATTAATGTAATTATTGTTAACTTTAATATAATAAATATGTACTTTATTTTGTTTAATAAATTAATAATAAATTTTAATTTTTAACGCTATTTTTTATTTTATATATTTTATTTAAATTTTGTCAATTTATTTTTATATTTTAAATAATTATACAATTTATATTTATTAGTATATTACTCTATTATTGTACTAAATATTTTAATAATGATTAATTTTAATATAACAAGTACACAATTTATTTTTTAAATTAAAAATATATAGTTGACTTAAAGGTTATATTAGAATTTTTACACTAGTTCATTCTAATTTGGGATGTAAACACGTGAATGAAATGTGAAGTGACTCTGATTTCGAATCTTGTTACTAAATAAACAGCTTATTCTGACTCTGATTCCTCACTCTAAATCTTAGTCACTCTGAATTATGCCCACTCTAATTCATGACCATTCTGATTACGCGTACATAAACATACCACTAAGTTAATGAAAGTTTTTTTTAGTTTGATTATCTTTTTTAGTGCGCTTTTTTTTTTTAATTTTTGCTTTCAAAACATTTTAAAATAATTTTGTGTATTTTAAACTTATTTTCTATCGTTAATAATATAAAGGATATTTATATTTCAAAAAACGACTTTGTGATATTGAAATAACACTTTTTAAATTGTTAGAATACCTTTTTTAATAGTATTAAAACTACAAGATGTCAAAGTAATTGTTTTTTTTTGGGATGAAAGGGGTTTTCAACATTATTGTTTTAAACATTTTAGTTGTAGGCGACTTAACACCTGAACTTCTAATTTTGATAATTTAATGTGGATTTAGTTTTGAAAGTGTTCGAAAGAGAGTTGAATTAGATTTGAAAATTTTTAGTTGGACATGAGATTTTCTGTCCTAACACGAGATGTTTACTGGTTTTCGGTCACCAATTTAACGAGAAGCTAACTAAAATGAGAAACACTGTAATCATAAGGTCCGTTTAGTTCGTTAATTCGAGTTTTTAATTTGAGTTTAAATATAATTTTATGTGAGAATTTTTTATTATAATAAAAAAATTAAATATGATTGTTTTTAAGAACTTTTTATTATAATAAAACTCGAATCGGTGAAAAAAAATGAAACTTAAAAAGTTAGTAAAATAGATTTTTGAAATTAAAATTTTGGTGAAAGTCTCCAAAAATAAAAAAATTTGGGGCCAATACTGAAAACGAAAAAAAAATTCAAATATAAGGTGGAACACTTCAAAACCGCGAAACTCATACGACATCTCGCGAACTCGCTAGCAACTGCAAAGACAAGAAGCCACGAGAACCTCCTCGAAATTCCCCGCGAAAGACCCACCCTTCAGTCTCACTCCTATAAATCTTAATACCCGATTTGCCCTTGTCTCTCAGTTCGCAACTCTCGAAACGTGTCAACCGCTTCCGTTCTCTCGCTCTCGCCGATTCAAAAAAAAAAAAAACTTTTTGATTGTTTTGAGTTCGAATTTGGTGGTGATCGGAATCCATGGCAGACGTGCGCATGGGAAAGACCGAGACCTTTGCTTTCCAGGCTGAGATTAACCAGCTTCTTAGCCTGATCATCAACACCTTCTACAGCAACAAGGAGATTTTCCTTCGTGAGCTCATCAGCAATGCTTCTGATGTAAGTTTTTACCTTTTTTTTTTTTTTTTTTTTTTTCCTTTTCTACTTCTTCGAGCTTGTGAATCTGGAATTGTTGTTTGTTTTTCTGTACATTGTTTGGTTACCGAGAAGAATTTGTGAAACGACTCCATGTAGTGCTGTAGGTTTTGTAATTGTGAGTAATTGTCACTAGAGATATAGGAACAATGAAAAGGAAACGTGAAACAAACAATAGGATTTGAGAAAAATTCTTAGCTAGGTTGAACACTAGTTATCTGTTCGTGAGATGGATGATTCCATTTAATTTTCTATATAACCTTTGTTTCAACCGAAACTTATGCTAACGAATATAATATGTGTGTGTGTGTGTGTGTAAACAAATAAAGAGGCTTGAGAAGCTTTAAGATGATAATACGATTTGAGTGTGGGAATTATTTTTCATTGTTATTTTGCCTTTTGTTCTGTTTAGGCGTTGGATAAAATCAGGTTTGAGAGCTTAACGGACAAGAGCAAGCTCGATTCGCAGCCCGAGCTTTTTATCAGGATTGTCCCTGACAAGGCTAACAAGACTCTCTCCATCATTGACAGTGGTATTGGCATGACTAAAGCAGGTATATTATTCAATCACCCGATTCTTTGATAGCGTCATTATAGTAATGTTCAACTATTCAAGTTTTGGAGTTCTAATTGAAATTGAACTGGTTGATTTTGTTAGATTTGGTGAACAATCTGGGTACAATTGCGAGGTCCGGTACCAAGGAGTTCATGGAGGCATTGCAGGCTGGTGCTGATGTGAGCATGATTGGTCAGTTTGGTGTTGGGTTTTACTCGGCTTACTTGGTTGCTGAGAAAGTTATTGTGACAACCAAGCACAATGACGACGAGCAATATGCGTGGGAGTCGCAGGCTGGTGGGTCTTTCACGGTAACTAGAGATGTAAATGGTGAGCCACTGGGGAGAGGAACTAAGATCACTCTCTTCCTTAAGGATGACCAGGTAAGAATTCGATCCAATCACTGCTTGTTATTTTAAATATAATGTTTGTTGTTTAAAACCATAGACGTATTTTCTTCGACGTTGCGGTGTTGACCAAGTTTGTCTTCTTTTGTTTTCCTTTTGCAGTTGGAATACTTGGAGGAAAGAAGATTGAAGGACCTTGTGAAAAAGCACTCCGAGTTTATAAGCTATCCCATTTACCTTTGGACCGAGAAGACCACCGAGAAGGAAATCAGTGATGATGAGAATGAAGAAATGAAGGAAGAGGACGGAGATGTCGAGGAAGTCGATGAGGAGAAAGAGAAGAATTCAAAGAAAAAGAAGGTTAAGGAGGTGAGCCACGAGTGGCAACTAATCAACAAGCAGAAACCAATTTGGCTGAGGAAACCTGAGGAGATCACAAGGGAGGAGTACGCGTCCTTCTACAAGAGTCTTACCAATGACTGGGAGGACCACCTTGCAGTTAAGCACTTCTCCGTTGAAGGGCAGCTCGAATTCAAGGCTATCCTTTTTGTTCCCAGGAGGGCCCCATTTGATCTGTTTGACACCAGAAAGAAGATGAACAACATCAAGCTCTATGTCCGCAGAGTGTTAATAATGGACAATTGTGAGGAGCTCATTCCGGAGTACCTCGGATTCGTGAAAGGTGTTGTAGATTCTGATGATCTGCCACTTAACATCTCTCGTGAAATGCTGCAACAAAACAAGATTCGCAAGGTTATCAGGAAGAATCTCGTCAAGAAATGCATTGAGATGTTTAACGAGATTGCCGAGAACAAAGAGGACTATGCTAAGTTCTATGATGCGTTCTCCAAGAATATAAAGTTGGGTATCCATGAAGACAGTCAGAACAGGGCCAAGTTGGCTGACCTGCTAAGGTACAACTCAACCAAGAGCGGCGACGAGATGACCAGCCTGAAGGATTACGTTACAAGAATGAAGGAAGGCCAGAAAGACATCTATTACATTACCGGTGAAAGCAAGAAAGCTGTTGAGAACTCTCCACTCTTGGAGAGGCTTAAGAAGAAAGGCTATGAAGTACTCTTCATGGTTGATGCCATAGACGAGTATGCTGTTGGGCAATTGAAGGAGTACGACGGAAAGAAGCTCGTCTCTGCAACAAAAGAGGGACTGAAGCTGGATGATGAGTCAGAAGAGGAGAAACAGAAAAAGGAGGAGAAAAAGAAGTCATTTGAGAATTTGTGCAAGACCATCAAAGAAATTCTAGGTGACAAGGTGGAGAAGGTGGTAGTATCCGACAGAATTGTCGACTCACCTTGCTGTTTGGTCACAGGGGAGTATGGTTGGACAGCCAATATGGAGAGAATCATGAAGGCTCAAGCTTTAAGGGATAGTAGCATGAGCTCTTACATGTCTAGCAAGAAGACTATGGAGATCAACCCGGACAATGGCATCATGGAGGAGCTGAGGAAGAGGGCAGAGGCCGATAAGAACGACAAGTCGGTAAAGGACTTGGTGCTCCTCCTTTATGAGACTGCCCTTTTGACCTCCGGTTTCAGTCTCGACGACCCCAACACATTTGCCTCGAGGATCCACAGGATGTTGAGGCTTGGTCTCAGCATTGACGAGGATGAAACTGCAGGAGACGACGCAGACATGCCTGCATTGGAGGATGCAAACGAGGAGAGCAAGATGGAGGAGGTCGACTGAGCTTAGATAATAAAATTTCATGGCAGTGCTGATGAGTACAAAATCTTAAAAAAAAAAAAAAAAAAAGTTCTTGTGTGTGTTTATGGTGTCTGCTTCTTTTGGAGTGTCATGTCTAGTTTTGGTTGAGTTTTTCATCTTTTTAGGGTCCTTGTGAATGCTTTACTCTTGCTCTTGATGTGGATAATGTTTGCGTTATCACAATGAACGTCTGAAAATACTATATATTTCTTATATGCCAATCCTTGAGATTATCCTATTGCAACATCGTCATATATCCTCGCTGTGTTTTGCAAATTCCTGCTCGTAAAAACCAAATAATCATGTAAAACCGAGTAGAAAGGAGCTTCTTTTTTTTTTTTTTTATATATATATAATAGTAGAATGGGCTTTTCATATCGAAATCATGAAAATTGAAACATCTCATTACATGATGTTTCTTGAAATCTTGACTCCCGGACCGGACCTGTAGAAGCCAAGAGAGGCTTTCTCATCCGTAAGACCAGTTATTATAATCCTCCTAAGGAAAGGAGACAATCAGTGGTGAATCCGAGGTGTTAATAATTGTTAATCGTGATCTCAGAGTTCAAGGCAGAAGTCAAAAGGGTTGTTCTTTGCAACAAAATTTAGAAAATATTTGAATTTAAGTTATAATTTTATTTAAATTTATATTCTTTGTAAAATTTGAGTTTAAACTCGAGTTTAAGGTTAAATTCGAGTTTAAGTTTCCTCTTCAACTCGAGTTCAAATTTTCTCTTCAACTCGAGTTCATAAACTCGAACTCAAATTAATGAACAATATTTTTTTATTCTTAAAAATGTCATAATTTTTTCATTTTAATTCTGATTTAGACATTTACAACGAAAAGACGAATAAAACCACACCCATATACCTTATTAAATTTTTTCATCACCATTGAGTTTTTATTAAAATACTATCTAAATATAAATTTGAGTTTTGACCCACCCAAATGTAAATTCAAAAAGATTCTCAATTCAAATCATAACTTAAATGTGTATATCCAAACACAAACTCAAATTACAACTTCAACTCAAATTATAATTTAAATTTAACTCAAAATAATCACTCAAATCACCGTAACTCAAAAATACAAAAAAAAAAAAAAAAAAAAAAAAAAAAAAAAAAAAACCCTGAAATCTTTCCACTTCTGGCTATGTAGTAAGAGTGGACGACTGAATCTGTGGCGCCTTTTTAAGCATTATCATGTGAACGTTCGAGTACAAATGATCTACGAGCTCTTGTTTGTTCTGTTACTCCCACAGATCTAAACCTAAATTAAATGTTACATTCAAAATTAATAAAATGTTTTTATATTTTTAATTTTTAAACTGACGTTGTTGTTAGACTAAAAATCCAACCAGTACCACACTGATAAATTCATAATGAATTTATTTCAATCAAGGTCAATTCTAAGAAATAATTACATCCACTCCTGTGCGCAATCTCATTATAGCGTTCCAAAAGTGTGTTTATGTCGTTGACTGAGTCTTAACTTTCGTGTTGTTACTCTTCAATGTCGCTTTAACCTTGTCGTCGTTTTTTACGCTAATGTCATTTGGGAGGAAATAAAGGGATGTCCTTTTTTCAAGTTTCCTTTTCATTATTTTGTGGGTGTCGTCTTTGTTTTGCTGTCGTTTTAGGTCTTTTTTTCTAGAATGTTGTCGTTTTATGTTTGGTATTGCATTGTTTGTATTCTCCTTCGTAACTCATTTTTCAAGGTTAATGTCGTTTGCAAATGAATGTCGTTTTCTTGTTAATGTCATTTGTAGATTTGTTTTAGTCGTTTTCATTTTCATTATAATCTCGTGTTTCAATATCTACGTCGTTTGCTTCATTTTGTTTCTATGTTGATCCGCTTTAGATGCTACTGGCGTTAAACCTTTTGTTTTGTTGTTTTTGGTGGCGTTATATTGTTCTTCCAGTTTAAATCAATTTTGATGGATTTCGATTTGAGTTTCATGTCGCTTTTTAGTCATATTTCGATGCTAAGTTTTTCTTTTTGGGTTTCCACAATCTTTTCCTTGATGGGATTGTCGTTTACGTCGTTTTTCCTGTCTTCTCCTGATGAAATGGGAGGTCATTTCATCAGCTAAATTGCCATTTGTTTATTTTGGTGTTAACGATAACGGTTTTGGTTTTGGTTTCTCTTCTCAAAGGCCGAAACGGCGATGTAAGAACTGGGAAAAATGGAGAGTTAAGCGGAGAGGGGTAAAGTTGATTGGTTGACGGAACTCTCTAGTCTCTTCTTCTTCTTCTTTTTATTATTTTTTTATTTTTTTAAAGAGTCTCTCCTTCTTCTCTCTGTTCCGTTCCGTTTATGTCGCTGATTTGAATTTATAATTTAAGTTAAGATATGACTTTATGTGAGAATTTTTTATTTTAATAAAAAAATTAAATATGATTATTTTTAAGAGTTTTTTATTATAACAAAATTTTAATTTTAAATTTAAATGGGTGAAATTAACGAGAAAAAAAAACCTTATTGTCGTTTTATTTTATGTCGTTCTTAGATTTTTGTCGTTTGTATGTGCTTTTATCATTTCTCGCTCCATCTTCTTTTTCCTCTTTCGAGGATATTTCTTGTTATTTTTATTATTGTCGTTAACGTCCATGTCGTTTATTATCTTTTCTCGTCATTTCTTTTGTGAGCCAGGCCCAAGTGGTATTATTAACATTTTTAAAAAATATTACTTTGTCTATGATTTATGTTTGTCCTTTGAAAATTTTTAAATTTTAAACTTTGTGCAAAATACTTTAAATTTTTTATTTTTACACCCTTAGGTTTTCTTTTTTAAAGGTTAGATTTTACTTTTAATTTTATAACCTCTTGTTTACATCTTTTTACTTGTATATATTATTTCAAATTTAAACACTGACATAAATAAATAAATAATTCTTCACAAAAAATACTACGATAATGAAAAATAAAGATTAAGCTAATAAAAAATGAAGATAAAGAGATAAAAAAAAATAAAACGAGATAAAAAATTATTAAATTTTAATTTTCACTACATTAACAAGTCAATTCAAAATTTTGATTTATCTCAACTTTCCCCTATTAAATTTCATGGCTTACTTGTCGTGAAATAGGTTCTTGTTGTTTTTTGGTTTTTGTCTTCCGAAAATTTCATTTTGGTACTCTATCAAAATTTAAATTTGATATTTTTTATTTTTGAAAATTTCATACCTGTATCTCGACATTTTAAAAAATCTTTTCTTAATACCTCGAAACTATTTTTCGGGATATAAAAAGACAAAATTTTCCTTATTGTAAAAATTTATTTGCTGACTAGAATTTTGAAGAAAAAAACTTAAAAAAGATTTTGAAGAGAGGAATTTTAAAAAAGGATTATGCTTTATAAGTATACAAATTTTTAAAATTCTTTTTTTTTCTTCAAAATTTTGGTCAATAGATAAATTTTTACAATAAAAATAATTTTATCTTTTTGTGTCTCAAAAAATGATTCCAAAATATATAAAAAAAAAATTTAAAATGTCAAAATACCAGCATAAAATTTTTAAAAATAGAAAATATTAAACTTAAATTTAGAGAGTAAATTTTTCCCTTTTATCTTTTATACGTAATGTCGTTACACAGAAGAAGAAGGAAAAAAAAAAAAAAAAAAAAAAAAAAAAAAAAAGAAAAAAAAAAAAAAAAAAAAAAAAGAAAGAAAGAAAGTAACGTCGTCAATTACCAGCGTGGCACAGCAGAATGGTCGTCTAGCTCTTAACGAATCAAGCCGAGCGTAAGTCCCACGCAAAAATTAAAAAAAACAATTCTTATTATTTAATAGCCAATGGAAGAAGAGTCTAGAACCCGCGAAAATTGATCTGAACGTCCCCGACTCCACTTCATGACCTCCTTCATTTCCCGACGAAGCCTCTAGAACTTCTTCCACTATAAATACCACTCTCCTCCATTCCCATCTCACGAACACAAGAAAGAAATCACTTTCCAATTCCCAATTCGCAATCACGCTTCCAATTCCGTTCTCTAGCTTTCTCTGTTCTTCATCTTCTTCGTCTTCTCTTCAGTAATCTCTCTGTTTTTGTCATCGGAATCCATGGCGGAGGTTCAGATGGGAGAGACCGAGACGTTCGCTTTTCAGGCTGAGATCAACCAGCTTCTCAGCCTCATCATCAACACTTTCTACAGCAACAAGGAGATTTTCCTTCGTGAGCTCATCAGCAATGCCTCCGACGTACGTCTTCTTCTCCTCTTCCAATTTCCATTCTCTGATTTTTTTTTGTTTCCTCGGTCTTATTGTGCTGGTTTTGGTCCTGATTATACTGATTCTCCGAGATTAGAATCGAAACTTAAGCTTGTGAAAAACTTTTATTATTACTTTTTCAATCCGAATCAATTTGACTCTCATATTAGTATTCAGAGTCTGCTCTGTTTTTCGTGGAGAAATATGCTAGAATGACCAACTGGTCGTTTTTCTTAAAAAATGGTCGTTCTTTTTAAAAAATGGTCGTTCGTAATCATTCTAAAGTGATTTTGTAAATAAAAATTTTTAAAAAGTTATTTTACTAATAAAACTTTTCTATGAGCTATTTTTACAAAGGCCTCGTTTTTCGTGTGCCTAAAGCTTATTTATTTATTTGTATTTTAGCATAATTTGAAGAGTTGAACTCTGCAAATCTGTTAGAGGATATGTTATTGGTACCGAAAGAAGCTAGAGCCTAGAAGGACAAAACATTCCAGAAATTTTGTGAATACTTTATAAAAAGGGAAAAAAAAAAGGCGAATGGTATGCATGGTATTATTAATTATATAATTGAAGTATTCACATTGAAGTTGGTTTGTTACAGGCATTGGACAAGATCAGATTTGAGAGTTTGACGGACAAGAGCAAGCTAGATGCTCAGCCCGAGCTCTTCATTAGGCTTGTTCCTGACAAGGCCAGCAAAACTCTCTCAATTATTGATAGTGGAATTGGCATGACCAAAGCTGGTGCGTATTTCACTTTTTCATTATGCTTCAACTCCAAAAGCTTCTTATTTCATTTTTGGTGAAATTTATTATTCATATCTTAATGATGGTCTTAATTAATTGAACGATTTTTTTTTTTTTTTTGATAGATTTGGTGAACAATTTGGGTACGATTGCAAGGTCTGGAACGAAGGAGTTCATGGAGGCATTGCAGGCTGGGGCTGATGTCAGCATGATCGGGCAATTCGGTGTCGGGTTTTACTCGGCTTACTTGGTAGCTGAGAAAGTTATTGTGACAACCAAGCACAATGACGACGAGCAGTACATCTGGGAGTCACAGGCTGGGGGGTCTTTCACAGTCACCAGGGACACGGAGGGAGAGCAGTTGGGCAGAGGAACCAAGATCACACTCTTCCTCAAGGCGGACCAGGTGAGAATGATCAGATAATATTTTATTTAAGTTATCAGATGTCATGTTTAGGTACAAATTACTTGATTGTTTGGTTTTTGGAGTTTGGTTGTGAATGATTTGTGGATTTTTCTTATTGCAGTTAGAGTACTTGGAGGAAAGGAGACTGAAGGACCTTGTGAAGAAGCACTCTGAGTTTATCAGTTACCCCATTTATCTTTGGACGGAGAAAACCACTGAGAAGGAGATCAGTGATGATGAGGATGAGGAGATCAAGAAGGAAGAGGAAGGAGATGTTGAGGATGTCGATGAGGAGAAGGAGAAGAAATCGAAGAAGAGGAAGGTTAAGGAGGTGAGTCATGAGTGGCAACTCGTCAACAAGCAGAAACCAATTTGGCTAAGGAAGCCTGAGGAGATCACAAAGGACGAGTACGCTTCGTTTTACAAGAGCCTCACCAATGACTGGGAAGACCATCTCGCCGTTAAGCACTTCTCTGTCGAAGGGCAACTTGAATTCAAGGCTATCCTTTTCGTTCCCAAGAGAGCCCCATTTGACCTGTTTGACACCAGGAAGAAGACGAACAACATCAAGCTCTATGTGCGCAGAGTGTTCATCATGGACAACTGCGAGGAGCTCATTCCCGAGTACCTCGGATTCGTGAAGGGTGTGGTGGATTCTGATGATCTGCCTCTCAACATCTCTCGTGAAATGCTGCAACAAAACAAGATTCTCAAGGTTATCAGGAAGAACCTCGTCAAGAAATGCATTGAGATGTTCAATGAGATTGCTGAGAATAAAGAAGACTATGCTAAGTTCTATGATGCTTTCTCAAAGAACTTAAAGCTGGGTATTCACGAGGACAGCCAGAACAGGGCCAAGTTGGCTGACTTGCTCAGGTACCACTCCACCAAGAGCGGCGATGAGATGACCAGCTTGAAGGACTACGTTACAAGGATGAAGGAAGGCCAAAAAGACATCTACTACATCACTGGTGAAAGCAAGAAGGCCGTTGAGAATTCCCCATTCCTGGAGAGGCTGAAGAAGAAAGGCTATGAAGTTCTCTACATGGTTGATGCCATCGATGAGTATGCTGTCGGCCAGTTGAAGGAATACGATGGGAAGAAGCTCGTGTCCGCAACGAAGGAGGGACTTAAGTTGGATGATGAGACGGAAGAGGAGGAGAAGAAAAAGGAGGAGAAGAAGAAGTCGTTTGAGAACTTGTGCAAGACAATCAAGGACATTCTAGGAGACAAGGTGGAGAAAGTTGTGGTATCCGACAGAATTGTGGACTCACCTTGTTGTTTGGTTACAGGGGAATATGGATGGACAGCCAACATGGAGAGAATCATGAAGGCTCAAGCTTTAAGGGACAGCAGCATGAGCTCTTACATGTCTAGCAAGAAGACAATGGAGATCAACCCTGACAATGGCATTATGGAGGAGCTCAGAAAGAGGGCTGAGGTCGATAAGAACGACAAGTCAGTGAAGGACTTGGTTCTCCTGCTTTTCGAAACTGCGTTGCTGACCTCTGGTTTTAGCCTAGACGATCCAAACACATTTGCCTCAAGAATTCACAGAATGCTGAAGCTGGGTCTTAGCATTGATGAGGATGAAGCCGGAGCTGATGACACCGACATGCCACCATTGGAGGAGGCTGGAAACGAGGAGAGCAAAATGGAGGAAGTTGATTAAAAATTGAGAGGCACTGCAAGGATGCAACAAGATTGATCAGATATGTGTAGAGTCATGTCTGAAATGGTCTGAGTCCTTGGTGGGCTTTTTGTTAAATATGGAGAGTCGTCTTTTTTCTTTGATTATGTGGGGTTTTTTTTTTTTTTTTTTTTTCCCCTTTTTTTGGTTTTTTTGGGGTTTTAATTGG